GATCACCTTAGCCTCTGAAGACCTGATCTACTACAAGCCTACGACCTACGACCCAGACCACGACCTCAGTGTACTGTTACTACGTGTCAATCCCCAGCTTCTGTTAGCAGACCCTACTGTCGGATAGCTGACCGTAACAATATACTTTATAGGTTAGCTATAGAGGTTACGCTATAACCCTCTAGTTATATATTTCCCCGTTAGAGTTATGTAGTAGTTAATAAGGTGCGCCTCTAGGCAGTAAACTGCGAAGAAGAAAAGTTAGAAGGGAAGAAAGATTATTATAGGCAGTGCGGGTCAGCGACTCAGCGAAGCCTGGCACGTCGGAGTTCAAGAAAGGTGTTGACGGCCTGTCATTTAGCTCTGAGACAACTGCAGACGCAACTCGGAGTCGACGCTTTGCACTGGTGTCAACGTCCAATCTAATCTCCAAAGACTTTATTACTAAACATCTGGGAAAGGAAACTTTCGCCTCTGTGAGGACCATCTGGAAGACAAGGAGAACACGAAGTCGGCATGGCTCGGTATACTTGGACCGACTGCCGTGACCAGGCGACTCCACAGACCACCAGCGAGAAAGCACACCTTATCTGGGAGGCTTGTCGTCAGACGATAAATAGCTGTTGGTCCGACTTAAGTTTAACAGAGGGTCATGAGATCTTATCGTTGATATTGAACTGCCGCAGATGTTTATCGTCGTCTCTGCGGGCCGTTCAGACTAGCTCACTGACTCGGTAGATCGGCAACAAAAGCTTAGCCAAAGCTTGAATCGTGTCCCAGGCACTGTCCATGCTCCAGAGACCTCTCCTTCCTTTTCGGGCAGGAGACTATTCTTTCCCCCCAGCGCTTATCAATAACACGAGCAACGGAGAAATTGAGAATTCGGCTATTCGGCCAACATCAAATGGGTCCATGTAGTGGAACTGTGATCGCGAATTCCTGTGTACGAACGCGCACTTAAGGGATGGGTATAAAATCATGGCGCCTGGTCGCCAAGCCATAGAGCATCTTGCGGAGATGACTGCACAAGGTGTATAGACTCGCAAGACTTTATTCATTTTCACCAACCTCTTACGCTCATTATGAAGTCCGTTGCCGCTATCGCATCGGCGGCAAGCCTAATTGGCTCCGCTGCGGCCGCATCCCGCGTGCCTCTCCAGTTCGACATCGCCGAGGTCGACTTGTCGTCTCTGCAGAAGCGCAGCGTCAACAGCGAGCCGTTGGAAGTGTCTCCTCACGTCCTCCAGCTGAACAGAGTTGCTGGTACCTCCCCTGCTCAGACATGGATTCAGTCCATTCGAAACGGACCTAGTGCGAACGGTCTGTACAAGACAGGTCATGTCACCAACATGACCGACTTGAATGGCTTCGAGTACATCGCCAGCATTGGCTTTGGCGATGAGACGCTGCAAGTAATCGTTGACTCTGGATCCAGCGATACGTGGGCTGTGCAGAAGGACTTTATTTGCCAAGACTCCGACGGCACGAGATTGAACGATGTGAGTAATGCATTTTGGTAGAGCACCCGACGCAGGGGCGAATTTGCATTGAGACGATCTGACTTGGAACCGTGGTGAGCAGACATCATTGTGCGACTTCGGGCCCACGTACAACGGTACCTTCCAGCATGGCTCCATTCCCGGCGTGCACTTCAACATCACCTACGGTGACGGCGAATTCGCCACAGGGCTGATGGGCTACCAGGACATCACCCTAGCTGGTCTTGAGGTGCCCCACCAAGAGGTCGCCTTGGTGAACAAGTCTTACTGGAACGGCGACAACGTCGCCAGCGGTTTACTCGGCCTCGCCTATGATCTGCTCACCAGCGAATATGACGACGCCACTGGTGCGTCTAAGCCTTACGACTCTATCTTCACCACCATGTCCAAGAAGGGCATCGTCAAGCCCGATCTCTTCAGCATGGCCATGGACAGCAAGTCTCAGACTGGTCAATTGGCTTTCGGCGGTTTGCCTCCTGTCAAGACCAAGGGCGAGTTCATTAGCACGCCCATCCGAATGGTGAGTTGTCCAAGTAGTTGACGAGCGGAAAGGTGACGCTGATTTGAAACTAGATCGCCCTCTCCTCCCGCATGCCCAAGGCGAAGACCGAGTATTCTTTTTACACTATCCTTCCCGACGGCTACGTCATCAAGAATGTGACCATGGCTCCTACTACCAACGAGACCCTGGCTTCGAGCAAGTGGAATACCGCGGTTTCCAAGCCTGCTGGTTTTCACAACAGCACTACTCCTACCATCGTCGACAGTGGCACTACTCTGATGTACGTGCCTTCTGGTAAGTGATCAAGTGACCTTTTGATGTCCTAGCTCTAGTGAACGACGGTTGGCTCACCCATGTATCCAGACATCTCCGATGCTTTCGCAGCTGCGATTCCCGGTTCTTTGTACAACTTCTTCTCAGGCGCGTACTACGCTCCTTGCAACGCTACGGTGCCAGACTTCGGAGTTGTGATCAATGGGCACACCTTCTACGCCGACAAGGTCGACCTGATCCAGACCAGCGACCCCGTCGACAATGGCGATGGCACCTTTGTCTGTCTGCTTGGAGTCAGCGACGGCGGCGAGGGACCTTACATCTTGGGTGACACCATGATGAACGGCTTGGTGACCGTATTTGACGTCGGAGCCGGTATGATGCGCTTCGCTAGCCGCGAGTAAGCTGGAGACAGCAAATGAGAACGCACATGCGGTCCAGCCTTTAATACTACAGTTCGCAAGTGCTGGTGCGCATGACTTATGGAAGCTTTTATATAGTAATTGTACATATTGAAGTTAAAGCAATGAGATAGTGAATTGGGAACATTAGTAGTACATATTAGGAAATACACAACATGTAAATTCCAAAGAGAGGTGCTGTGAAACATACCATTCGTTTGGTGCTGGGTATTCCCTAACCGGCAGCGCAGCATACTAATCAAAGAAGTCAAGCCTGGGGGGCAGGCTTGGCTCTTTGACTGAATTTTCACCGAAACCTTGCTTGACTTGACATACTTGATCCAATTTGACTACTGTTACCTATTCGGGAAGTCAGTGAAGCCCTCACGATGTCTCGATGGGTCTTGAACTCACATTCTACGGTGTTTTGATGTCATCCTACCCTCCGTTAACCCTTCCGCTTGAAGTAATGCCCACCGACGGCAACGCTGCTTCCTCGAACCAACCGTTCTAGTCATTGTTATTCAAGTACGCTTGTCTTGGTTGCCTCCTGCTCTTGATAAGACCTCTTGGGCGCATTACAGGAACCAAGTTACGTGACTAGCCTTACAGCAATATCGCCCTGCCTAATGTTTTTCAATGTTCGAGGCAGAGCAGCCTCCTAGCTGATCTTCTAAGGACCTGGCGAGAAGGATGGCTCTGCAATATCACATGCAGACGCAGTAGTAACCGTGGCTGCATGACCTCTGATGTGCATTCGTACCTGCTCTTGGGCAAAAGATTCTACAGTCCCTCAAGTTTCAAGGCATGCTTGATGAAATATTTCAAATTTTCAAATTGACTGTTGTCAAAGCCCGTAGACATTGCGAGCGTCTTATTAACATGAATTGAAGTCCCGACCCTCGAAGCCTTAGATCTCCACACATCCAGGGAAACCGCTTCCAGTTCCCGCACCCTGTCTGTCGCAGCAGTTCTGGTAGGTCTGTTGCCTCGTTAGCAAAAGTAATTCCTTTCCTGGCGCAAGGGGCCTTGAAAGGTCTCCGCGTCAAGGTTTGCGTTTGAGTTTGACGTACACCAGGGTCAGGACCATTGTAGCTGCAGCAAAGGAACCATTCTCCCCAGACGAGCTCGTGGGGGAAGGGGGCAGAAGTGCCGTTGTTGTAGGGTTCGCAGTTGGGGGATTGGCGCTCAACGACCGCGGCAGCGCTCGTGCCCACAATGAGGGGAAGAGCAACGGCGATGATGGAGAACTTCATTTTTGTTCCTGTGAATTTGAGATGACTGAGCAGAATGAAGGATGTTGAGACGAATGATTCGGAGGTGACGAAAGTTGCTTCGAAGACTGGAAATATGTTCGTCTTATAAACGCAAAGCACATGGCCTGGGTTGTCTTGGCTCAGGGGTTGTCATCATTACGGATGAACACTGTAAGGCGGTAAAGGCGGGGGATAGCCCACTCGCCCGCGCGCTGTGTCGAATGATTTGACGCGATCACCTCGGTCGGCTCGGTTGTTACTTTTTAAGTTGACCAACTTTTCGGTTTGCTTTTCACTTTAATTGCCTAGATATTAGCCAAGATGTTATCGATGTGGCTAAGCGAAGTGTTGATCCTTGCACAGCCTGACAGGACAACTAACGATCAGCGTCTAGGTGACACTCTTGGCCAGACTTCCAATCCGCACGTAGAGTAATATGAGTTCCAAAATTTTACTCTGTCCATTCAAGCCTGACATTTTGGTGCAATTGCAACTCGCCGCAACATACAGAGCCTCCGATTGGGGTCGAAGAATGCGACGGAACGCTGTAACTCTGCGATTGCTTGAAAGAGAAACAGTGAAGGCCGCCAAGGCGGCTTTATGAGATGCCCAGTCTGATTGCATCATAGCTAAACTCGATTGCAACTTCATATCTTGAATATCTGAAAATGAATGCCCATTCCTTGTGACAGTCGGGGCAACAATTCACCCGTGTTCACATCTGCACGGAGGACTCCAGTGCCTGATATAGAAGGCGGAACGTCCCACGGCGCCGTGTGACAGAATTCGCGGGGGGCCAAGGACCAGCCATACAAGCGATGGGGCCCTGGGCGGGAATATCACCCCGATTGGGGAAGGATCTGAGACGAGCCATCACGGACACACAAGGATGGCTTGTTACCCAAGCAATAACACAATACCCAAATGTAGGAATGCACTTGTAGTTATTGAAGTTTTGAGACTAGGTACACAATAAGCTTTGAGCCGACTTTTAGGTTCCTCCCACATTCGGCTGATATTGGACGGAGAGCAAAGAAGAAAATGGAACTATTGGACCTGGTAAGAAGATCAAGCGAGCACGCGCGCAGAGCATCCACTCTGCCGTGTCCCGATGCACGTTAAGTATTGCTCCAAGCCTTTCAATCATTCGTCTAAGATGAAGTTACAATGTAGCTGACGCATGTAGTCTAACCATGGAAAAGTGCATCTTGACAGGTTATGTGCATGATCCCGGGTCTGTTTCCCTGCATTCCGACGTCTTGCCAATGATCTCGTTAAGAAGCACTCAGGACATCAAATCTAAGCGGGGTTGAAGTTGATGGCGTTCTTGCCGCTGTTGGAACAGCACGAAGACATGTAGGAAATAGCCGCAGAGTCAGAAGTTGTGCAGCACTAAACTTCTAGTTAGCTATGTTCCTGTTCAGATAATGAAACCAGCGGAGAACGAACAAATGTTCCAGGGCCATCGTGATAGGTCGTTCCATGGGGAGACTGACAGCAGCTCTGGGTGAGTGCGTCATGACGAGCTCCTGGGGCGTGAACGTCCTGGCAAACGCCAGCGTAGAAGCTTCCCTTGCAGTCGGCAATAGACGCAAGCGAGCCGGCCGCGAATGCGCTGTGATCGAGAGGTAAGCGCGAGTCGGCAGATGAATCATGTCTGAATACTTACGCGATAAGGACAAAGATGTGTTGGGAAAGCATTTTTAAGACGTGCCAATGCCAATAGTTGATCGGATGAACACCTGGCTAGTTGAGATAAGGTTTGAATGGTTGAATTTGTGGTTGTGTGTGAGATAGTGACATCAGTTGGAGCTGCGACACTACGACTCTTTTATATTCTAGCGTCACCTCTCTTACCTCGCACGGAATGCGAGAAGAACGAGATACTGACTCAATCTGCAATTTAAATCCTACCCGTATCAGAAAAAGGTTTGGACTAATTGAAGCATTCAAAGTTCACCGCCTTCACGAAACCCGAGGAAGTCGGGACAGTCGGGTTGATAACACGATATGGTCTGTGGATTTCCAGATTTCAAGAAAGCGTGACATTCAAGTTTTCAGACGTGCTGACATGACGTCCGTGTTGGTGCTGCCATTATTCTTTTCAGCTCTTGAATCCGGCCGAGTTAATTATGACCTGACATGTTAGAGAATGGATCTCTTATTTCTTCTGTGCTAGTTACAGAGATTGCGTTCTTGCGAATTGACGTATTCTCTGTATTACTGTGACGGTGGTCCTCGTCGTCTCTACCTTTACAATCGCTGTTACTACTGTTATTCGCACGGGCTGCCATTGCCTCTACTACTGTTGTCCTCGTTCGGAGTAATCTGAGTAGACAGCAAACGAAGCCGCACAGGCACAAGAAAATTCGCAAGCCTCAACGGTTTAATCCGCTAGATTAGATAGTAAAAAGTTGAATATGTATGCCGTTCGTTGCATATGTGTAAATGGTTTGCAAACGACCCTGGGCTAATGTGTTCGTCCAAAGATACAGGAACTGCATCACAACATGGAGATGCTACGTTGGTCACTCAACCCAACGACTCACATTAACTTGGTTCAGTAACCATAACGGTGCGTTTTGAGATACGTTGTTTACTTCATCACATCCCAACTTGTCTGCCTAGTCCATGACGTTCGCCAAAGTGAAATGTGACTAGCCTCCACTTTGTGAGAATCCGGGGCAAGCCGCCTCATTCAACAAAATAGATCTGCATCACATGTAACTCCTAAAACCTTATTACGGACTTCAACTCACTAAAAAAAGAAAAAGGAAAAAACATCGGATCTTGCAGCCCATCGGCTCTACTCCGAAAGTTCCCCACATCGACGGCTGCGACAATGCCGGCCGCAGGACCCGGCGCGGGGTATGCTCCACCGTGCTAGACTACTCCGTCAGGGAGCACCGTCTCGCAACAGCGTTTCCTTTTTCAGCCTCAAATTTTTCTCTGTGTTCTTTCATACTGTTTTCATTGCAATTTCTCAACATGGACGAAGACGACGAGTTGCCTACGGTGCAGAAGGCCGCTGTCATTCGACACCCAGGACCGAACGCCAGCATCGTTGTCCAGCACAATGTGCCTGTCGGAACTCCCGGGCCTCATGAGGTTCTTGTGCGCATCAGTGCCACTGGTGTTTGGTACATCTTCTCACGATCATCATGTGGATTGTTAACGACTGACTGGAACTCTGTATAGCGGATCGGAGACTCGAGCTTTTCGGGGTTGGGGTGTTTACGACCCCATCGTAGGCCATGAGGGCGTTGGGAGAATCGTCAAACTGGGCCCCGGTGTTTCTGAAGAATTTCTAGGTCAAAAGGTCGGGGTGAAATGGCTTTACAGTGCCTGTGGCACCTGCTCGGCCTGCGTTCGCGGACACCAGAACAACTGCCCGAAGCAGCTCAACACCGGCAAACATCGCCCCGGAACCCTACAGCAATATGTCGTGGCTGATTCAAGATATGTCACGAAAATCCCCGACGGGTTGCCCGATGCTGAAGTTGCGCCCTTACTGTGTGCCGGCTTGACCATGATGGGCGCTGTCTCGAAGTTGGAAGGCGACCTTTCTTCTGGCGATTGGGTCGTTATCCAAGGGGCAGCGGGCGGCCTGGGGCATCTGGGTGTGCAAATTGCCTCGCGAATGAGAGGTTACCGAGTCATTGCGGTTGACTCAAGTGGTCACGATCAGTTTTGCCGTGACAACGGAGCCGAAGTATTCATCGATTACACGAGGGAAGAGGTTGACAAAAAGGTCATGGAGTTGACAGGGGAGGGAGCCCACGCCGTTCTCGTGGTGCCTGAGTCGGAAGACGCTTACATCACGGCACCCAAATTGGTCAGGTCCATGGGAACAATTGTGTGCGTCGGGTTGCCTCGTAACGATTTCGATATTCCCATACCAGTCACCTTGTGTGCCCTCAAGGGTATGTCTCCACTACATTCTGACTGGTACTCAAGCTAACTTGACTGCTCTACCACAGCTCTGAATGTCAAAGGCGCCATGGTCGGGACCGAGAAGGAGATGTCTGAGCTATTGAGGGAGGCTGCCAAAGGTCGCATTCGAGCGTCCGTCGAATACTTCCATATTAATGACACGGAGGAAATCGTAGGGCAGTTGATGAACCAGGAGATGTATGGAAGGGCTGTTATCACTGGCATTTGATAGATGTAAACAAGCCAAGGCACAAGACAGGCAGATCTGTTTGCCAAGCTCCTGGTATCATAAACAGACTTATTTCACTGAAGCCAACTTCCGCCTCTGATAAGAATATCTATTATGAATGTAGTTCTAGTAGTCTTTCGCTGTTGAACCAAACAGATGAACCCCAGTCTCCAACACCTCGATCTCATCACCGACCTCAACATACAGCCCCGCCCTCTGCTCCTTGGCTTCCTCTAGGTCCTGGTCCTCCGGTACGCAATGCATACCGATGTACCCCAGCGCAGACGGGTTCCCCGTCTCGACCGTTCGGTGTTCTATCAAAGTCGCGCTCGGCTGCGGCTTGCCCTTCTTCTTCCCCTCAACTGGTTTGTCTGCTTCAAAGGTCCCCGTCTCAAGATTGACATTCGGCATCGTGCACCGTGACGTACGGCAAACAACCGACAATTTTGGCGCAACCTCCGCCCTTTTGTCATCTGAAACGGCCTTTGGTAAGATTCGATAGCGTTTCCAATACTCTTCGGCAAAGGCTGGGGCACCCGTTATCCAGATGTTCGCGCGGAAGCGTACTGCGTCCAAGGGCTGGTTTTCTGGTGGTAACAGTGCAGAGACGGCATGCACTGAGGAGAGGGAGTTGAGGTTGACGGGTTGTTGGTCCGTATAGCCGTGAACTGAAGGTGTTCCGATGGACTTTAGCGGTGCGAGGTTTCTGTCGCAACGGGTCAAGGTATCCGGAGTGCATCGCATTAGCGTCAGGCCGCGCTTCTCCGGGATTTGGAGGTATTTCTTTAGCTTGGGTAGTGCGGCTGCGACGGATGGGATGTCGCCCAGATCCAGTCCGCTAGCCTCACGAGCGTGGATGCCGAACTTTTTGATCCTGATGTTAAGCTTTTCCACTTCTGTCGGCGTAGGTTGAAGAGGTGCAATCAAGAAGACCTCCGGCACGGTGGAAGGATCCCAGGTATGAAGAAGTGTCTCCAATTTTTGAGTCCAAGATGGAGGATCTGGGTCTCTAAATGACAGCACAACGCAGCCGCCGGCCTGCACGAGAGGGTCGCTGGGATCACTATCCTTGTGAGGAAGCCATATCTCCGTGTTGATGTGGCACATGCTAGGTTTAGTACGTTGACTGATGAACTTCCATGTTATCGAGCCATTGTCTGGGTCGACGACTTCGGTGGAAATGGCGAAGCATCTGTCGTACAGAAATCCGGTCTTGGTGAGCAATGCGCGGTTGACCTCAATGAAGCCGCATGACTTCACAGGGTGGATGTAGAGAGACTTGATGCGGATGGGCCCGTTGGTTTCTGTGTCCTCCGGAGCGGCGTATTTGGCGTCGAACTGATCCGTCATGTTGCCTGTTGATACGCCGAGTTTCCGGAGATGACGGAGCTCTCTCCGTACCCTGTTGATGTTGCCATTTTGAAGAACAGCAGTTGCTGTTAAGGCCAATAGGAAGACGAGACCAAGAACCAGCTTCAAGATTGGCGAGGCTCCCAATTGACCAACAAGGCCACTGAGCAGACTGACAAGCATCTTTTGACTGGTCTTCAACTTGAATGTTGGTAAGGACCCAATGAGAGATGCTACTCTGCAAAAGACCTCTGTGATGCGCTTTCGGTCGGAAGTTGATAGAGTTGCCGATTCTCGGATGTCGTCATATCGCGGAAAGACTCCCGCCAATCATTCGGCATCCCCCAGGACACGTCCCCACCAAAGGTCAATTCAAGGCGCGATTGACGTTGCCGATGCGCGTTGAGCCGAAGCCGAGGCCGGGGACCAATTTTAAGGCGAAACTTTCCCAATTCGACTCGAAGATGTTGGTCAAAGGAAGGACACACTCAACGATTGGTAGGATGGATCTCTTTGTTGTAGTTTTGGGCCATTAGCGGGTCTGGCCAATTGTCCCTCTCTAGTTCATTTCCAACTTCAGCGGGACATGTCATTGTAGGGCGTGTTACCAAATCAAAACATGAGCGAACGAAGAGTTTGAGCCGACAGGTTGGGGGCTGACTGAGAGACATTAATCGGAGAGGGGGTGAATTATTTGATGACCCTATGATTGAAATAAAAGCGATTGACTTTCGGGTTTGATATAATGACCCTTGGGTTCTTGGCTGCTCAGCATTGTGCTGTGTGATGTTTTGTATCTTGACTACATCCCACTTCCAGCTATGGCATCGCGATCTTCAACTTCAAGGCCCACGCCCGACCCAGAGCTCGCAACTCAAAATGGCTATGTTACCCAAGAACGAGAACAGCACGAGAAGTCTGAACAACCACCTAGTGTGACAACCGACGCGGTACTGGCACCTTCAGAGCATGACTATCCAGAAGGAGGACTTCGAGCTTGGTCCGTCGTCCTAGGTTCCTGGTTTGCCTCCTTTTCAGCCCTCGGCATATCCAACACCATCGCAACGCTCCATGCCTACGTCGGCACGCATCAACTCGCCGGCTACAGCGAGGGCACCATCGGATGGATCTTCTCGACGTACATGTTTCTAGTCTTCTTCTGCGGCATCTACGTCGGGCCCCTCTTCGACAAGTACGGGCCCAAATGGCTCATCCTAGCTGGCACCATCGGCGTAGTAGCCGCGCAGATGCTGTTGAGTTTCTCGACAAGTTCGTTCATCCCCCTGAACTTACGTCTTCACTGTATCCGCTAAACTTACATACTAGAATACTGGCAATTCATGCTCGTCTTCGGCGTTCTCAACGGCTGCAGCGCGTCATTCCTCTTCACGCCTTCGTTCGCTGCCATCGGCCACTGGTTCTACCACCGCAGGGGACTGGCAACAGGTATCGCGTCGACAGGCGGTTGCTTCGGTGGAATCGTGTATCCCATCATCCTGCGTTACCTCTTTAAGCGTGGAGGATGGGGCTGGGCTATTCGGACCATCGGGTTCATCGTGCTCGTCTGTTGCGGCACGGCTACCCTCCTCATCGACACGCGTCTGCCTCCCACCCCTAATGCGTCGCCTCATCCAGACCTGCGAATCTTGCGTGAACCAGCCGTCGCGATGACGACCATCGGTCTCTTCCTCTTCGAGTGGTCCCTTTTTATACCCCTCACCTACATCTCAAGCTATGCAATCAGCAAAGGCTTCGACACCGACTTCGCATACCAGATCCCGACGATCCTCAACGCAGGCAGTGTAGTAGGTCGTGTGCTAGCCGGCTGGTGGGGAGATTACGCCGGGCCCTTCAACTCGCATATGGCAGCGCTGTTCCTGAGCTGCGTTGCGTGCCTGGCAATCTGGCTACCTGCTGGCTCTTCCATGGCGGGCATACTGGTCTTCGTGATTCTATTTGGGTTTGCTAGCGGTAATAACATTAGCATCAGCCCCGTCTGCATCGGACGGCTGTGCAAGACGGAGAACTATGGCCGCTACTACGCGACGTCGTACACGGCCGCCTCTTTCTCTTGTTTGTTCGGGGTGCCTATAGCAGGAGAGATTATTGCGGCGCAGGGAGGAAGCTACCAGGCCTTGATCGTTTTCACTGGCGTCATGTATGCCGCTTCAGTTGTAGCCTTTGCAGCGGTGAAGATTATGCGAGTAGGGTGGAAGCCGCTAGCTATCTTTTAGTCTTGTCATCTTCAAGAAAAATCTCCTCATATCATGTTGATTGACCATTATCTCTTCCGTGCTGGTTTCGAGTAGCGCTGGTGAGAAGTATTCGCTGTTCTTCAATGCATGGTCCATTTGAGCCATAGTCCTTACCGATTGACGGCGTCTCCTCGCTCAGTATCCTCCAATTGCTCAACAACCTTGGCGTCAGCCTTTCCTCCCTCTAGCACAGCAAGATCATGACTGAGACCATCCGTCTGGAACTTGTGGAACTGCCAGGCGGGGATATTGGCTTCGAAAAGCTGGTCAATTTCTTCCAGATTCCGGCCCTGTTACATCGTCAGCTGTTAACCTCATGAGATCCAAGTCTGCCCGGACACTGAACTAACCTTAAGCTCAGGCATACAGAACCATGCCCAAATCGACGTGAAGAAGGCGAAGCCACCCCAGATGTAGCCCAGCCCGGCGCCAATTTCGGCGAGGAGGTACGGGGTCACGAAGACCACGATGAACCCGACGACAACATTGAGCGCTGTCTAAGGATCAAGTCAGTTCCCATCTCCCTAAAAGTCACGAGTAGTCAATTAAAATGGAGAACTTACCGACAAAGCCATCGTCTTCTCTCGCAGAGTCTGGGTCCCCACCTCCGCGGCGGTGATGTACGCACCCGGACCCAGCGTCATGTGGAGGATACACGTATACAGCTGCATGCCCGCGACGATGCCGTTGCTCTCGTGGACGTTGGGGCTGGCCTTGCGACCGAGCGCGCCGATGGCGATCAGGAACGCGCCCTGGGACCAGCCGCCCTGGAAGACGAGAGTGCGGCGGCCGAACATGTCGAGGAAGACCATGGCCATCATGGCTGTGACTACGGAGGTTGCGTTGTTGACGACCTATGATTGAAAATTAGTGATAATACGGACTTGACGTGGGTGAGGCGGGCTTACAGCATAGACGAAGGCCTTGTCTGCTAAGCCAACAGATCTGTAAAATGTCGGGCCGTAGGAGCTCGAGAAGGTCACTCCAGTAAGCTGCTGAAGAGCCATGATGGAGCACGCGATCCTGTTTCCCTCAGCAATTAGGCCGGATCTTCCAGAGTAGAGGACACGGATCATGCAACTCACCCAGTCCTCCTCTTATTCTTCTCACTAAACAGATCCCTCCAAGGCCCCTTCTCCCGCTTGCCGATCTGGCCCTCGTCCCGCATGGCCGCAATCTCCATCTCAGGCCTGCCGTTATCCACATCCTCTTGCCTCCTGACCTTCCTCAGGACGGTAATGGCCTCGTCCGATCGATCGTTGAAGACGAGCCACCGGGGCGAGTTGGGCGTGAACCACAGCCCGCACATGATGAGCACGGCAGGAAGAGCCTGGATCGCCGTCGCGATCTGCCAGCCTGAGCTGTCTGTCCGGCGGGACATGGACTCGTTGACGATGCCGGCGATGAGGGAGCCGAAGGTCAGGCATAGCTGGATTGAGCCGACGAAGAAGCCGCGCAGGGGGGCGGGGGCGATTTCGGATTGGTATGTCGGGACGACCTGGTAGTGATACATGTCAGAAATCGAGGCGCGGTTGAGCTACTCTTTGGACTTTTGCCAGCTTACGTTCTCGACCAGGCCGACGGCCGTGTACACCAGAAACCGGCCCGTGACGAACTGCGCGGCGTGGTTACTCGTAACCTGGACTTCACCCCCTCGTCAGCATCTCTCTCTGACCACTCCCAAGCGTAAGTGAAACTCACTGATGGCTCCCACAATCTGCACCAAACACGTCACCCCCATCGCCCTCCTATGCCCGATCCTCTCAATAATAGGCCCCACGACCACCGTCCCCGTGAACTTCCCCAGTAACGGCAGACTGTTCATCAAGCTCGCCGTGCGGCTTGGGAGATAGTACGCCTTCTTGGTCGCGCTGTAAGAGCCGAACTTGTTCATGAAGGGCGTCATGGCCTGCACTCCGCCGAAGGAGGCGCCGTCGCTAGTTGCAAGCACATATCAGACCTTGACATCAGGAGATGAGGGAGCATCCAGAGAAACTCACTAGCCGAAGAAGACGCTCCCCATGGCGTAGATGAGACAGTAGAGCATCAGGCGGGGAGTGGCGTTGGCGAAGGCCGCCTTGCCTGCAAAGATGCCGCGGCCCATCTTTGATGATTGAGTCAACGTGAATTGGGCGGTTTGTGGAGGACCAGGATTGAATATCGAAACTTTTTCAGATTTCACTGTGATTTCTGGGAGGCAACGTCTTTTGAGCCATCAAAACAACCGGCTACCAACCCACGCAGCCGAGCTTTAAAGAATGGGCCGATGACCGGAAGCCCAGCGACAGACCGTTTTCCGCCTTTCACCACTCTCCCCCGCAGTAGAGAACTTGGGGTTTGGGGGTGGGTTCTGTGGGGGAGCGAGAGCATGGAAGCGAGGATAATCTGACCGATATTCCTGCCAACTTCCTCAACCCGGGGATATAGACGGGGGCAATGGCATGTCGGGACTTGCCTGACGCGACGAAGACTACTGCAGACTTGGACATCTGCGCTGTCAACTTCTGTATGTACCATGCCTCCGGAGCCAGGTAAGAGGCCGGTGGCTTGTGGGGGATCGACCTCGGGTTTCCTCAGCCAGAATCATCATCCAGAGCCACCGTTTACCAGAGCCACCGTTTACCAGGCAACACATCCGATCGGCAACGCCTTCACCCACAGAGATCGCGAGCAGACCCCCCGAGAGACCGACGGAATCCACTGCCCAGCAAAAGTTTCCGAATATGTTCAGCAAAGGAAGACTTTGAATCGCAGTAGCGGAGCTTCAGTTAGTTGGGACCCATAACGAATCCTTCGTCGGAGTCTCCCCGCTTCAGCTGTTGGCTGCGTCGCTTGACGGCGCTTCGTATTGCCCAAACAGGCGATCGCCGTTAGTAATCCCAGAACCCAACCCAGTTCTTTGGTAACCAAATCTCATCAAACAGTTACTTCTGAAGCCTGTCACTTATGGTGAACCTCAAGCGTGATCTCAGAATCCGGTGTTGCCCCGGTTCTCCGCGTGCAAAATCCGGGATGCGGGGTCGGGCCCGCTTGTGCCCCTCCTCCGGCGAATGCTCAAGATCGCCCGTGGGCCAAGCGCGGGATCAGAATCTGTAGGAATGGCAATCAAAAGAAGAGCAGAGGCAGGATCCATAGAGAGCAGCGCCGGCATGTTGCTCAAGCATTGGCTGCATAGTCGATGGATGTGAGTCAAACGAGGGTGGATAAACATTCATCATCGCAGCGTATGACGCCAGTCCTCCCGCTGCGTCAGATGCGAGGGGAACAGGGAACTCTAATAGGGAATCGCACGCGCCCGACCTCGGCCACCTCTCCGCGGCGATGCCATCGCTTCTGAGTCAACCTTGAGGTACACTTCCACCAGTAAGTTATCTACGCAAAATGCGACGATTCAGGTGCCAGCAAAAGCCGACACCAGTTTGGGTGCCATTGCTGTCGAGCGTCCTCGTTGCTCTCATCACTCGATGATCGCCTCATTCCTGAACCTCTTTCGTGCGCCACGCCCAATCATGTCGCAGCCTGAGACATACGACATTGTAGTCTACGGCTCAACATCCGGCGCCGTCGCGACGGCCATTCAAGCCTCACGGCTCGGGAGGTCAGTCGCGTTGGTCTCACCGCAGGAACACATCGGTACCGAAACCTTCTTCACACGAGACTTCGCGCGTTGTACTGCGTTGTACTGACGATGTCGCCAGGTGGCATCCAGATTAATGGCCTCGGCGCCACAGATATCGACAACCAGGCCGAGTTCCAGAACAGCACTACGCTGGGCGGGCTGAATCTCGAGCTTCACCAGAGGATTAGTCGTCACTATGGCCGTCTGGACAGGCTGAACGAGGTTGTTGAGAAGAAGCTCAAGGATCCTGATGTCTGGAGGTTTGAGGCTAGGGTTGCGGAGCAGGTGATCAAGGACTGGTTGGCTGAGAACCCGTCGACTACCGTCATCAACGTGAGCTCCTGGTGAAGCGCTTCCATCAAGAGTGCTTGCTGATAGGCATCAGTCGAGGCTCGTCGAGAAAGATGCCGTTGAGAAGGATGGAACGACTATTCGGGCGATCCGTCTCGAGAATGGCCAGACGATAGCCGGAAAGGTAGGGTCACCCTCAGATGCTGAATGTCGCCCTTCTCACAGACCCAGATCTTCGTCGAGGCAAGCTATGAGGGCGACCTTCTCGCCGCCGCCTCGATATCATGGACCCACGGCCGCGAATCCTCGGCGACGTACAGCGAATCCCTGGCCGGCGTCCGCGCGGAGACGCTCTACCGCCAAATCGACGTCGACATCGACCCGTACATCACACCCGGGGACTCCTCCAGCGGCCTGCTCTACGGCATCTCCCCGGAAGCCTTTGGCAACCCCGGCGACGGAGATTTGCATCTTCAATCGTACTCGTACCGCATGCCGCTAACCGACGACCCAGAAAACCGCGTGCCCTTCACCGAGCCAGAGGGGTATGATCCTGCATGGTATGAATTGCACAGACGGTTCTTGAAGGCTGGAGGGGAGATGTATGTGCCAAAGAAGAGGTTGCCAGGAGAAAAGACGGACTTGATCGGAAGCGAGGGGGCATTATCGACGGACTTGCTTGGTATGAACGACGAGTGGCCTGTGGCAGGGTATGAAGGGCGAAAGAGAATACTGAAGGACACAGCGGACTTCACGAAGGGATTCTTTTGGTTCTTGGCGACGGACGAGTCAGTCCCGGTAGGTTTGGCTGTCCTCCTGAAGTAATGGTGCTAACGGCAGCAGGAACCGATTCGCAAAGAGTGGTCGCGGTTTGGATACTGCCGCGATGAGTTCCATGACAATGGGCACTTCCCACACGAGCTCTATGTGCGAGACGCCAGGCGAATGATATCAGACTACATCGTCACGGAAGCGACGGCTTCTCAGAACGGTGCGCCGGAGGTTCCAGACCCGGTCGCCGTAGCGTACTGGCCGACAGATACGCATAGCGTGCGGCGCATACTCCGGGACGGGCGGGTCCACAACGAAGGCTTCATCTTCAAGGACGGACACCATTGGCGGCCCTTCGGTATCGCTTACCGTGCGATGGTGCCGCGGAGGGAGGAGGCGGGCAATTTCGTCAGTGTTAATTGTCCCAGCTCGTCGCACGTCGGATATGGTGAGTGTTGCATCCTTGGTGATTTGTGAATCCGTGGTGAAACTTGGCTGACGGGTGGTTAGGGGCTGTGAGGCTGGAACATCAGTTTTACGCGCTTGGCCAGGCTTGTGCCAACGCGTGTGACATCGCTTTGGAGAAGGACGCCTTGGTGCAGGATGTGCCGTATGGGCCCCTGAGAGAGAGGCTATTGAAGCAGGGAGTTGTTTTGGATGCCTCTACCGTTGGCGTCCCGTCGTTCGGTGACGAATGAGGCAGTCTGAAGAATTGGCATCGAGACAATGCCGAACCAGCTGGAATATTGCCGTCAATGAGGCTTATTCGGGGCTCAGAGGTATTGGATCTAGTTAGTCTGGAGCCTGATTTGTATCATGATACAATTCGACCGTTACGCTACACCAGCCGATGGCTGGTGGCTGATTCAACCGTGTCTTCAGTGGTGGGGTGCGCATTATTGCGGACTTTTCGCTTTCGCAAACGAGTATCGACAGACGTGACAGCTCCGTAGGGCTGAACACCGATGGATTCTAGGAAGAATGCTGCAAGTGAACAAAGCCTGAAAGGAATCATCCGACTTTGCCTCTGGATTACCTTGGCGCTTACTGCTTGGGCGCATGGCATTCCTTTTGGCCCAGGCAGCCGAGGCGGGTTGGCGGGAAGGATGCGGTAGCACGACCAATCAATTGCAGAAAGATTGAACACGCTTTGGCACGAATAGATGCAGCGGGCAGTTGGGGTTGGCCAAATCTATCTCTGGCAAGTTGGCAGGGATATCAAGGCAGATCTTGAACTCTGTGTCGGCAACCGCGTTTCCTCAGATAGAGTTGCCTGCTATCCGCAGGAACAGGACTCCATGACTTGTCTTCCGATGATGTGAAGCATGTGGCAGTGTTACTGAGCGGCAAGCAGCCAACCATTGGAATAGATACTGGAGTCGAGTGGTGTTCCATTGATCACGATTATGTCAGGATGCGAGAGCAAAGTCAAGGCAAGGACAGCGGTGAGCCCAATGCTGAGAGGTGACGACCTCGCCTCTCGAGCCGTAGCTCGTCCCCGCGACGTGACTCGAAGCGTGCATGAGGAGCAGCGTGGCCATGATTCGAAAACCGCCTCCTTGACTGACTAAAATCTCAGCTGGCTGCGAAAATGCGGCTCGGTGAACATTTGCGTCGGAGCTGAGCTTGCAGGTATCCATCCGGGCACATGTGTAGTTCAGGGCTGAGAACAGAAGTCTCGCAGATTGCGCCCGAAGCAGGTGAGCGCGGAAGCTAAGCGTTGGAACAGGGCGGATTTTGGGTTAAATGGCAGGCAGCAGGCTGACGGCTCAGTCATTAATCCACTCAGCAGGTATCCACACGGGAAAAGATGCATAATTTCGTCAGCTGCGGACCCCGAAAACTCCAGAAGGCTGGAAAGATTCCCTGTTTGGACGTCACGGTGCCAGATCAGCGAGACGGGGCGGTAACGGTGGCTCGAGCTGGGAAATTCGGCAACTACTTCCCCACCACTGGGCCCAGATCTGCAATCCTGCGCATCCACAGGGGAACCCAATGGCTGCTGTTTGTCACTGGGAGTCGGGAATCACGCGGTGCGCGGTAGTGAACACGGTCGACAGCCGAAATCAAGTGGAATGGGAGCCTGCGAAAATTCCAATCCGCGAGCCGATGCCAAGGGTCCGGGACGGTGTCGGGGATGGCAAAGATCAATAGCGCAGGCAGACCCGGAGAGATATTCCTTCTTTTTCAGCGTCATCGATTCTTTTGGTCCTTGGGGACTGGGCGGCAGCGCTAGTCAGAGACATGCCTGGTCTTGGGACGAACGAAGCCTCCCCGACTCGCGGCGGCAACTCCAATGGAATCCGGTCTGACAATGACAGAATGGTTGCTTTCTAGCCGCACACAATCCGGGAATGCCGTCGGACGATGGTTCGCCATGGCAGCTAGAGCAGAGCGGTCGACAGATTCATACGTCAAGACTTCCAACCGGCCGAGGCGGAAAGTCGGAGACTAAGGCCAAGTGCCCAGTTGCCATGGCTGCCGTTGCGTCCCGTTCGAGACAGGATGCCAAGACCCCTCCAAATTCTCACCAGCATGGGCCCAGCGGCGAGAGATGAGTTGATGGGCGCGAACGGGCTCCTTCCTGTCCCTCGTTAGAACGGGCAGCAAACAGGGTCGCCACAAAAGGGCAGCGAGACAGCGAAGCCTCTTGGCCGTTGCGAAAGGCCACCACGTCTGGTCAGGTCTGAGATGGAGGGCGATAGTCGTCGTAATGCACTTGCCGTGTGGTCCAGTCAGGATGCGGCTGGGCGAGAGGAGGTGGACTGTTTGGCGACCACAGGTGCATTCAATTCCGCCGACAGCCAATGGTGTTTGGTGACTCTGGCTCTGACCGACTCGACCGTCTGATGAGAACGGGAGTGACAACAGCTCAGCGACTCAAGGATGTGCAGTGCATCACCCCAGGCTGAGAGGGGGCCCCGGGTGCCAGCACCAACTGTGCCGAATGGCCGCTGCCTATGACTTGGGAGGCTGTGCACGGCCGTCGCTTCCGACGCCACGTTTGGCCTCTGTGTTGGCGACGGTAGTTCCTCATCTCGGGCGCCGCTTCGATCCTTCTCGTCCGTCGGTCGTTTTGGCTGCTGGGGGATTGAAGGATTCCATTTGTGAAATACCCTGTATTGTTCTATGAAAGAAAAGCGGCAGTGGCGCGAAGGGTAGACTCGGCGTTGGTTGATGGAGGAATTCGAGTCAAAGAAACGGGTAGCTTCGCGGAAAGCTTGACGGGAAGAAGATGCTGACAAAAGACATTCCTTTGGGCAGAGCGGAAAATAGCTTGCGTGTGTCTCAGTCGGGAGGCGCAATTCCCCAGCCTCCAATCACGGGCTGGCTGCTCAACCAAGGCCGTCAGCTCCCGTCTGCTGCGCTGCGACGACACAAACGAGTGTCAGCATTGGGCTTGGTGATGTTGATCGACTGGAGCTGAGGGCCCAGAGACAGAGAAAAGGCCCGGGAGTGGCTGCAGGTCACGCACCGCGTTGCTGGCAGGAGAAGCAGGTCCCCGCAGTTCCCAGGGACGGGCCAATCGAATTGCACCCGCGGCAGGTGGCTGCTGTGTTTGCATGGTCCATGCTTGCTGAGACAGAGGGAAAGTTCGATGAGCTCAGCCTCAGGGAGGTTCCTTCCCTCCAATGCGCGGGACCTTCGTGCCTTCCCTCTCCTGCTTGTCTGCTGGGCACAGCATGCACAGCGAGCGCAGCCACACTAGAGATGCTGATGTGAAGCGATTCGGTGAATGCCCGCCTCCCCACTGCCTGCCTGCTTGCTCTGCCCACCCTGCCCCGGTACGTTCCATTAGCGAAGGAAGGAGGGAAGGAAGGTACCTGCCTGCGGGCTGCCTTCCTGAGGTGCCATTACACTACGGATACCCAGATTTCCATGGATTCCCCATATGCTAAATCAGCGAGTGAGGTCACTCGTCTTTTCCCCTTTGGTGCTGCAGGTGAGCATTTGGAGCTGCAGGGCGCCTAGACATTTGCTCCACGCATTTTTCTTGGCCTGGTCACTCTCGACCACCAAGTCCACCTCGCTGTTCGCTTCGGATTGACGCTACGAGCCTGGGCGTCCACTTCGCCAAGGCAACACTCAGGCCGGCTGCTTAAAAAGCATTACTATCCCACTCTTTTTCCTTGGACACCCCCAGTCGCTTGCCTCCTCCGTCCCCCGATCTCAATTTTGGGATCCCCTATCGAGCTTCGCTTTTGATTTCTAGATTTTGCATCTATTTCTCAAGAGCAGCATAGCATCGCGTCCCTGATCTCTGTGGTTACACATCTCCAGCGCGCACCTTCGAACCGGCCCGATCTCGAGAATCTCCGACACCCGCATCACTATGGTTGCCCGTTACGCCTCGATCGCCGCTGCCCTCGCGGCAGGCGCAACCGCCCTCTCGGTTCCCCGCGACGAGTCCAGCTCCGGTTCGACTCCCGGCGTCCTCTCGTTGCCCGTGTACCAGGATATCAGACTGCACCCGCTTGAGAAGCTTCGGAGGAGAGCCGTTTCGGACACGGATGTTCCAGTTATTAACGTTACCTCGACGACGTACTTGATTGAGCGTAGGTGGAACCGGACCATCGTCCGAATTGTCGCATCCAGCTAACATGCGCAACAGTGGACATTGGAACTCCGGGCCAGGATACCAAGGTCGCCCTTGACACTGGCTCCTCGGAGCTGTGGGTGAACCCCAACTGCCAGAAGGCCGGCAGCACCCAGCAGGCTCAGTCGTGCCGCGCCAACGGTCAATACGATCCCGACAACTCCAGAACCTCGGTTGTCTACCAGAACACCGGCCGCATCAAGTACGGCAAGGGAGAAGTCGCGCTGCAATATGTCGCCGATAACATCACTCTGCCTGGCAGTGGTATGTCTCAAAATACTCATGAGCCTCACCAACAACTAACAAATCCCAGACATCGACCTTTCTCAGGTCATCTTCGGCTATGCTACCGACAGTGTCGACCTTAACAGGGGTATTCTCGGTCTCAGCTTCGGAGAGAACAAGAACAACACCGGCTACCCTACCGTTGTGGAGGAGATGAAGGCTCAGAACGTTATCGAGTCCTTGACTATGGGTATTGCGCTCGGAACCAAGGATGAGCCCACCGGCAGCGGTCTCATCTCCTTCGGCGGTGTCGACACCAAGAAGTTCAGTGGCAACTTGCACTCCGCCCCCATCCTGGGCCCCCAGAACGGCGAGAGCTTGTGGAGATACTGGGTCCAGCTCGACAGCATCGCGCTGAGCAAGTCTGGCAGCAGCAAGACGACCTACTCCAACTCGCAGTTCCCCGTCTTCTTCGACACCGGTGCTACGCTCAGCTACTTCCCCTCGGCTGTCGTCGACTCCCTTGGTTCGGATCTCGGTGGTCGCCTCGACTCATCTGTCAATATGTACGTCGTTCCGTGCGGCACCTCGGGTACGATCGACTTCACCTTTGGCGGCTTCACCCTCCAGGTGCCTATTTCCGAGTTCATTTGGGAGGTTTCTGACAACGCCTGTGTCCTCGGAGCCGACAAGGCCAGCGATGGCTCTTACCTTCTGGGTGACTCATTCCTGCGCTCAGCATACGTCGTTTTCGACCAGGAGACGCCTGCCCTGCACTTTGCTCCCTACGTCAACTGCGGCACCAACCTGCAGAAGATTCCCCTTGGCGCCAACGCCGCGGCCAAGTTCAGTGGAGAGTGCACAGCCAGCAACAGCAGCAGTGGCAGTGGCAACAGCAAGAACGCAGCCGGCCGTGCCTCGGTCAGCAGCCTCTGGCCTGTGGCTGGCGCGCTGATGGCTGTGCAGGTCTTCATGTCTTTCCTTTAAGCATAATGTAATTCAACGGCTGGCTTTTCATGCATGAGTTTGGAGTTGGGGTTGGACAAACAAACAGGGTTTGCATCAGCAATAGAGACGACGATTTGGGCCTCCTGTACATGGCGGATTGCTTATACCCTACTCCCCTGGCCTGGGGCTACATAGTATTTGATTAGTGAACACACAAGATGGTTATCTTGCATCTTCTGCTCATGACGTCACATGCGTGAATTCAAGCTGCTTTGTGATTGATACTTGAGTTATTGGGTCTTTGGGAAAAGGTTGGCTTTGTGGATGTCAAGGTATCGGCAGTTGTGTGGTGATTAAACAAGGAAGTCAGGCACCGCGCCTTCCCACTGGTTCATCCAGAGTTGTGAGGGAGGTGCGGGAAGTGCAGCATGGATCCCTGCTGCATCTACGCCTTCCATATTGGGACATGGCAGAAAGCCTCTTTCCCCAGCTTTGCTTTTGCCTTCGGAAGCTGCTAACCATATGGCGCCTACCTATGGAGAGGACCTCTGCTGTACTACCTCTGATGTTGCTCGACTTCTCAACGTCGTCCCTTTGCATCTCCACCACATCCACCTCATCTCAACCTCCATCCCTAAAACCTCATCATCCACGACAGATCATTTGATAATCTTTCCTTTTGCTCAAACCCTAGAACCTATCAAACTGTCGCTCACAAAGGACTTCAAAAAGAAAAACGCCCACCGCCATGCGTCTCGCGGCAGCCTTTCCGGCCGTCTTGGTCATGGCACCCGGTCTCGCCGCAGCCACCGGAGCCCTGGGCTTCGCTCTGGGGGCGAAGCAGCCGAACGGGCAATGCAAGTACCAAGCCGACTACGAAGCAGACTTCAGAGCGATTCGAGACGCCTCCGGAAGTACTGTCGTAAGAATCTACGCCGCTGACCAGTGCAACACTGCCAAGGAGATACTTCCCGCTGCGAAGAAGGAAGATTTTCAAGTCATTTTAGGCGTTTGGTAAGTTTCCCGAGTTTCCCAGCGCACCAATCACGGCCACCCTGTCAGCCAAACTTTGCCGCAAACTGTAAACTCAGATGCCGACTGACTCGGATGTAGGCCCGACACGGAGGAGTCCTACGCCGCCGACAAGGCCGCAGTTCTGGAGCACATCTCCGGCTTTGAGGACCAAGTGTACGCCGTGACGGTCGGCTCCGAGTCCCTCTACCGCGGCAACTTCACCGGCCCCGAGCTGGCCGACAAGATCAAGGATATGCAAAAGTCCCTTCCCACTATTCGTATCGGCACCGCGGACAGCTGGAACAAATTCCAAGACGGCACCGCCGATGCTGTCATCAAGACAGCCGACATCCTGCTCACCAACGCCTTCTCGTATTGGCAGGGCCAGACTCGCGACAACGCCACCGCGTCGTTCTTCGACTCCATCATGCAGGCGTTTGGTCACATCCAGCACGTCAGTGGGTCACTCAACAAGCCTGAGCTATAGGTTGGCGAGACAGGTACGCTGACTGTTCCGTTCCCCTATTCACTTCTCGTGATCTGCGCCTTGATCTGATCTTCGGTCAATGGTGGCTAACCAATCCGTCCGAGCTTAGGCTGGCCCAGCGAGGGTGCGAAGTACCAGAAGGCCGAGCCTGGCAACGACAATGCCGCAGCCTTCTACAGAGAGGGCGTCTGCGGGATGGTCTACTGGGGCTTCAACGTGTTCTTCTTCGAGGCCTTTGACGAGCCCTGGAAGCCACATGCCATTGGCGAGGACGGCAACGCGGCCCCCGAAGTGCACTGGGGCGGAATGAAGGCCGACCGCACTCCCAAGTATTCCCTCCGATGCTGAAATCGCAGCCTGATGTAAGGAAGCTCGCGTGAGCACCTCGTGTTTTGGGGCGGCAATCAGATGTCATGGGCAGTGTTTTGGCCGTTGCTACGAGTTATGACGTCGATATGGTAGATACCCTATGAGAAGCTAAACAGAAGAAATTAGTCTTTTTACACTCTGATGCCTTTTTTGGGAAATCGATGGAGAAGCGTGAAAGCTGGCGGCCTAAAAAACCCACGATCCAGCCGACATGTTCTATTTTCTGAGCATCTGACGCGTCGTCCCAAGGTCAGGTTGTCTCGGGACCGAACATGGTTCTCGAGGCCCGCCCAGGCACTGCGTCTGCCAAGCTTGCTGCAACGAAGAGTGTGTGCGCCGGGACTCCCTCAGTGGCCCATTCTCCGTGTCCGTCAGTGAGCGCGAGCGTGCGAGGTGGGCGCGGTGGCTCACTACCTTACTGGCTGGGCCTTCGCCTTTCGCACTCCAGTCTGCACCTACCTAGGGTCAGTGTTAAGGTTATGGGATTAGAGTTTCGTGCGGCTCGCGGTGTTACAGTTTACAGAGGATAAAAGTCCCGTAGCCGCGAGGTGGGGAAATCCCGCCCCCCCTTTCACGGCTGGGCTGGAGTCACTTGGCCAGGCACGCTACGCTGAGTGGTGGGAACACTGGGAATGCGGGAGGGAGCGCCTTGCCTGCGCTGCTGCAGCACACAAACTCACGGACCCCTAACCCCGCGCCGCGCGGATGCAGGCTGAGAATCTGAGGCACGTCGGGCGTCACATTCAAAACACGTTCCTGACGGAGCGCGACCACCGCCACGGCGCAGACATGGGACCTAACCCTGGTCTTTTCTGGGCGGTGTTGTTTTTGCTGTGTATGATTTGCAGTCGGATGTGAGTATCACCGTTCTTAGCGAGCGGGGGGCTTATTCAATATTTTCAATTTTTGTAGTTATCTGAGGTTTGTGGTTTTTGGGGTGATATGTCTAGTATATGGTAAAAATTGGGGGGTGGAGAAGAGAAATGGAAGTGCCGAGGTTTCTGGGTTCCCGTCTATCCGCTCAGTGGCGCTGGGTGATAGGGTCATTTGCGGGAGGCCCGGGTCGGACGTCCGGTGCAGAATGACCTCACCACAGCGAGGTGAGGGGAGACAGAGGGAACGGAAGAAAGCCTCGGATGCTCATTAGATTCTCATAGCAGACCATACCCAAATGGTCGCCGTAAACCGCTTGAAAAAAAGTAGTCCTCCCCCCGTGGACTGGATGAAAATGCCGTTTGAAAGGAGCCGCTGATGCTGATGCTTGGTTGTGTGTCGTGAACCCGTCACGGGATAGGATGTTGGGAAACATTTGGTCGTGGATCGCTTGCTTGATGGTGGGTGGCGATGTAGGGAAAGGTGGACGGATCATCGGCAGTGGTGTCGTTGCCCGGTGGTGCTTGGCTGCAGAAGGTGTCTCCAGTGAGAGGGCTTCTGAGAGCTGACGTGCCGGCCTGTCACGCTTTCCCCGATCGCGATGCGATTACGGTGTTGAGGGTGGATTTCATGATCTTCTCAAAGGACTGCGGATTGTATTAGTAACCTGAGGGTTTTGGGTAGAGTGGATTTGTAGACTTACGCGCAACCCTGCGGTGTCGTGACGCCGAAGAAGCAATCGCCAGAGTTGGCTGGTACCACCTGGTTCTGCTTGACGGGCGTGATGACGACGCCGGCGGAAACCATGGACGCGCACAGCGTCGTCAGGAGAGCGAGTGAGAACTTCATCTTTGCTTGGTTTTGCGGTGTTTGTGGTGGGAGGTCGTAGGAAAGAAAAGGCTGCTCAGGATAGCTGCCTTGCGTGCGTTGCGGATCGGACTGGAGCGCTGCTCTCAATATTTGTCCCCTTCTAATTCCTCTCTCTTTCTGGTCGAGATGTCCTTTTCCCTGGGTTCTCCTTCAAAGAGTGATCGTGGAGTTGTCGTCGTCGGACTAGCGACGAGTCGAACGGGTCGGGTTGGTTGGAGGTGTGGGTGAGGGAGGAGGAGGGAGCGTGGGGCGTGAGGAGGCGGCAGGTGCAGGAGCTGGGTAATTTGGGAATATGTATGCAGAATAAGATTTTGTTCAGACCAGCTGGTATGCACGGGTATTGAAAAGAGAGTGTGTTTGGGTAGAGACTGCGTTGCGTGATGCAGATGACTTTTCGCTTCCTTTCGCGGGTCTGAGATACGAAAGATGGAAGTATTAGACTTTTGAGGGAGGAAGGCAAAATGAACGAGAGGACGGGGTGGTGGGTGTGGTTAAGAGGCGGCGGAAGGTGGTGTGCAGCGTGCAGATCTCTTGGCGTACGTGCGGTGCCGTGCGTTTGCGTCCAGAGGCGTTTTGGTGGTTTGGGGGTTGGTGGTGGTAGTGTGGTGAGACGAGGTGAGGCAAAGCGAGTGGAGGGATGGATGATGGGATGGTTTTGCGTGGTGGTTTAGCAGAGCACATAAGGAAGAAGAGAGAGGGAAGTGGGTAGAGGGAATGGGACGATGATGGGCTGTGACGAAACTCGTCTCGACAGGGGTAGAGGAGGCACATAAGACGGTAACTAGGTAGGTACGACTGGGACTGGACTGGACCTCGGAGGGACGAAGCGAGGAGAGGGGCGGAGGTGAGTGGTCACTGGCCAGTGGTCAGCGGTGAGCGGACTCGTTCAGGTAGTGTACGAGTCCAGTGCTCTGCCCTGCGGGTTAAGAATTTTGAGTATGCCGCTATCGATGCTAAGCATTTGGCGACCAGGGGGAGGCCATCGCGGGCAGCAGGGCATGGGTTTCCTGAAGGGGAGGAGGACCGAGATGAGCGGGTGGAGTTTCAGGGTTGAAACCCAGCGCTGCGCGGTGCGCGATTACGGTGAGAGTTGGTGGGAGTCTTGGGATCATTTACCATTATTACAGCTGCAGGTAGGCAAGATGAAGCCAGTATCTTGGCCCGTACGATGGATCACGAGAGGCCATCACCAGACTCAGAAGCTGGTTGACTCCAAGATGGAGAGTCCAAGATGGAGGGCGAGGCGCTTGTGGCGACGGCGGGTGCAGCGTCCTCGGAGAAAAAGAGGGCGTCAAGAGGACTCCCGCGACGATCGTTAGAGGCTCCTCCTCTTCTCCCAGCGCCTCAAGGGATTAAGGTTGTACGGACGGTACGTATCTCGCAGCGATTGGGCAAAAGGACGGTTTATGGCAGATTGGCGGTGGCCAATGAGCGCCGTGCTGGCCAGGGGGCTCCAGATGTTCTGGAACGGCAGCCAGCAGACGGTTGGATGGGCGGCAATTCGGTGCCTGAACCCCTGGGACGACGGGTGGGGCGCCTGATTGGACGCGCCAGGGACACCACGGGACATGCGACACCTGGGATTCCAGCGATTTCAAGCCCGCGCCACAACCTGCGGATTTCCCGGGCTGGTGGGTCGATGGTGGTGCTTTTACACTACTACTGCCTAGTAAGTAGTCACACTAGACTGTAAGAGTCTTTTGCCTTTTTTTTTTGACGGTTCAGGTACGCGGGCAGATTTGGGATTGTGGTTGGTCGTCTGCGTTAATCGGGACAGGGATGGAAGCCCTTTCTTACTCCAACGAGGGCCAGAAGCTGGAGAAGCTGAGAGAACACGCGCAGGAGGGCGCGGACGCAGGGACTGCGGGAGGGCGGGAATTCAAGGGGCAAAAGCCAAAAGCGCCATACAGAAAAAGGCTGCGCTCTGCAGAGGAGTGCCAGAACGAAGTTTTGTTAGTTGATGCTTATGGCATGGACAGAGACTACGGCGCAAACTCTACGACTCCAAGGGGGGTGAGGGGGAAGGGCTCACGACAGGGCAAAACCCAGCTGGCGAGTCTCTCACGCACATGGCGCAGCAGAGGCGTGCCTGGCTGAGACAGGGGCTCCGCTGTCAGCCTGTCACTCGACAAAACCTTGGTGCCTCTGCGGATACGCAGGACTGTGAGGAATGCGGGCCACATCCTGGGGTTGACAGATTTCGGATTCAGAACAACCTCGACGACGACCCAAAATCCCAAATCCCTCCCTTCCCTCTTCGTCATTGGTGGCTTGTGTTCGATATCCACTGCATTGACAGTCATCAGTCCACAATCACACCCCGTCAGTGTTTAATCGGCGGGATCCCTGGCGCTGATCTGGGAGATTTCCCTCCTGTCTCCCTTTGGGGGCCAATGCTGTCGTTCATGGATCTCTGGGCAACACCTTCAGACTGAGGGAGAGTGAGCCGGGCGTGACGGCTGGGCATATGATCTTCCAAAACTTGACGGGGGGCTCGGCGGGCTTGGGAGGATGATGGACGCGTGGGCGTGGGCTGTGGCTTGTCTCGACGAGGAGGATCTTCGTGATCCAAGGGGGTAATGTGTCGTTCGCGATCATGCTCTCGCGACGCATCACCACGGCTATCGAAACCTCGTTTCTCGACACAAACGCACACTCGTGGGATGGCACGTCTCTACTTTTCCTCCCTCCCGCACCTCCCTCCACAAATCACCAACAACCCGCACAGCTAGAACCTGCTACAGTACTCCAGCGACTTGTGGTCGGAAACCTGCACGCGCAGAGGCTGTCGCTTCCATGTCCCAATCGGTATCGCTGACGAGCCCAACTCTCCCTCAATCACCGGCAGAAACTTTGCCGGATCCCACCCTGAGCCTCCCCCGCGGATGCTCACCTCTGCAATGCCGTCGAGCCCGTAGGGACGAAGGCCGCCCTTGAAAGGGGGCAGAAGCAGCCATGTAGCAGTGGGAGGGGGGGCCGCGATGCAGAAGGGAGCACGAGCCAGGCACGGCGCGTTCTCCGCTGACTTACTCGTTCTTGCGGCTCTGCCGTTCCGTTCCCGGGGGAGACGGGACCTGTTGCGCTGACGCACATCCCGCGGGTGTTCGCTGATCTTTTGATACGCCTCGGGAGAAACGTGATGCTACCCTTCCCGCCCGGATTTTCATGCTGCACTCACCAAGCGATGTTCTGGATCGCGTCCGTGGGTTGTGGAAACAGCGTGTTTGCCATCTTCCGGTTTTGCAAAACATTGAACGATTCCATCCGTGAGGCACATTTTTCCTACCTGGTGCTACCGGGCTCGATCGAGACACTGTCTCGGTGCTACTCGACTGTTGTTGGCCCGGAGTGACACAGGAGGGTCTCACGATCACCAAAATGTTGAACATGCAGAACGGGCCGTTGGCATCGGAGGAATGCGTCCGAGTCATTGGACGCTTACGCGCCCAACGGGCAAGCGGCACGAGGACCGTTGAAAAATCTTCGTCATTCGTCATTCGTCATTCCTGGGCCGTGCTTGGGGCTTCTCAGACAGCAAATCCGCGTCGACGTCATCGCCCGTGCCCTCGATTTCAGACTGGAATGTGATACTCGTTGATGAGGGGGGCCCACCTGCATTTTCGTAAGCTTCCAGAAGCCGTCTTCCCGTCCGTGGGAGGCGCATGTTTTGTCTGTGAATGACTAAGGTATCGGCGATTCATGAGATCTCGTCGGTGTTAGACGCAGATCTCGCTAGGATGGACCAGACGAACCGCTTTCGCCACTTTCGATCTGGGCACGAGAGTTTGGAAACACGTTGCATGCGACGAGCACCCGCGATCACTCATGCATCATTGGCTGCTGGTCGTGGCTGCTGGATGAGGCTGCCAGCCTTTACGCTGAAGGCTGTAGTCTACTTTGGCATCCATTGAAGGAACTTTCTGTCATATTCGTTGCGTCGAAAGAAGCTCCTGAACTTAAAGACGAGGTGTTCTCATTGTGTAACGTGAACCTAGAATCATGTCCCCGTCACCACGTTCCCGTCATGCTATTTCGTCCTTACCCCAAGTTTCATACGGGATAAGGCGGTTTATTTGGACATCGAGAAGGTCATTGGAAGGACTCTGATACGGTCTGATACGGACCACCAGGCGATTCTTTTCGAGGCGATTGGCTGTCGTGTGGTGAAGTTAATTGCTGCCATTCGAGGTCTCAGTAGCCGTGTTTACAGAGGCTTGTGGTATTCACTACGTCAAATCGTACCCCATCGATCAGTGATAGACATGGAGAGAGTTCTGCGTTGGATCTGAGTAAGGACTTTCTGGAGCCTGGCATGGTCGTTCACCTTATTTCAAGATCATCAAATGACTCTATGTAGGGAACGTAGCGCCATAGAAAGAGGAACTAGCATGGCGAGGGATGAAGTCAGGTAACACAAGGTACTAATATAGACTGTTGTAGATGCTAGAGTGAAAAGTTTTACTATTCAGGAGATGGCGGCTATGTCTCAGACAACAATGGGAAAGCAGGAGAAAGGACGTTAACGATAACGCGAATATATTCAGTTGAAGACAATGCAACAACATTGGACACAATGAGCACTTCCTCTAATCATCTATATGATCTATCAAGACATTAGACCTCAACCGAGACGTCTTGCCTTTCCAATCATTCTAGTAAATCCAATTTGAAAAAGCATGGCTTAGGCAATAAACAACCATGATTCAACCAAATATCATCACAGGCCTTGTGTCTCATGCCGAGCCAACACCGACAATTATCTTCCCTGTCGTTCGTTCGTCCCAGCCTTAGCTTCGCGTAGGCTTTCGGCGCGTTGATCCACTCAAACTTCTCATCAATCAACACCTTCACCTTCCCCTCGACTAGCCACCGACCAATCTGCCCCAAGTCCTCTCGACTTGGGCTGACCCTCACAGTCTGGAACCGTCTCTTTCCACCGCCCAGGAAACCTGGTAGCATGCTCCTGCGCAGCATGCTGATCATGGATTTCTGCATGGCAACTTGGACGAGGACGCCATCGGGCTTGAGGAAATGCGGACTACTCTCATACAGACACTCCGGGTTACCGACGTTGTCGATGGCTACGTCGAAGATAGGCCCCTTCGCCTTAAGTTCGGCCAGTACATCAGATGTCCGGTAGTCGATCACCTCATCCGCTCCGAGCCTCTTGCAGAGGTCGACATTTGCCGTGGAACAGGTCGCAACGACGTATGCACCAACGGCTTTGGCGAACTGGATCGTGAAGGAGCCAACGCCGCCGCTCCCGCCGTTGATGAACACCTTTGAGCCAGGTTCCAGATGCTCTTTGGGGAGTGATTGAAATGCAGTCAACCCAGCCGTGCCCAAAGCAGCCGCATCATCAGGGTTGACGCCCGTTGGAAGAGGCGCGATATGGGAACACGGAGCAACCATGAGCTGACCCAGGCTGCCGAACTTGGGAAGCTTGGTCCCAATGCTCAGGGCCCCAAAGACGAGCTGGCCCTCGGGAAAGTCGTCGGCGCCATTTTTGGCCTTGATACGGCCGCAAAAGTCCAGGCCTGGGCTTGATCGGGGCTGTATCATGAGCTTTCCGAATACGGTGACCTCTGGGAGTTTGTACTCGACCGGGTTGATGCCCGCTGTGATGACTTCGATGAGGACATGGTCCTTGGGGAGAGAGGATGCGTCTGGTGGAGTGGCGATTTTGTTGAGTGATAGGGAGTTCTCGAGGGTTTTGGTGATGGTGGTGTATTGCCAAGCTTGCATTTTGCTGGTTGAGACGCAATTGGTTGCGTCAAGGGTCTGGCGGTGGTATGGACCCTTTCAGCGAGAAGGACTACGATGGGACCGGGCGGATAAGCTACAAATATAAGGCAAACGAGGTCGCAGCATACGCTCAACAACATCGCTTCAATTCATCTACAATTACTCTCAAGTCAAAGTCCGCATCCTAGTTGTCGAGTTGCAGGGGTAGCTTAAGGTTATCTCGGGTTCGGATTGATCCTGGTCCATGTTGCGGAGTTTGCACCCTCAACTTGCTTCAAATCTTTGGAGATAGCGAATGTTGAATCTTCTTTCGTCTAAGGACAGTCAAATTTGGGGAAGAAATAAATTGATGGCTAGCTGGATTGGATGGTGTGCGGCTAGTTTCCTCCGTAGCTCATGCGCGCCCGCTGATCCCAACGAGCGAAAAGGGGCGGCGGCGTTTGATCCGATTACCACTTGAACGAGCCAGGATGCAAGACCTCCATGTTATCAACGATTCCAAAGTCACGAATGCCACCGCCAGGCGTGTAAATGCTCCCGTTGAACGCAACCGCCGCCATGCCGTGGCGGGGTGTGTTCATCGGCCGGAGCTTCTCCCAGCAGTCGCCGCGGATGTCGTACACCTCCGTCTCGTTGAATACAAACCCAGCCTCCGGATCCATATTTCCTTCGCCTCCAAAGGTGTAGATGCGCTGCCCGAGAATAGCCACGGAAACTCCTCCCCTGGGCGTGGGCATGCGCGCGCGCTCGCTCCACTGCAGCGTCTTGAGGTCGAGGACGTAGACCGTGTCGCGGACTGCGGTTTGGCTTCGGAAGCGGCCTCCGACTACGTAGAAGCTGTTGCCGACGACGCCGCCACCGGCATGCTCGCGACCTTCGGGGAGATTGGGCAGAGTTTTCCATTCCTGAGTCTTGATGTTGTAGGATGAAACGGTGTCGACGGTCTCTTGGAGCCCATCGGCTCCCAGCTCGAGCAAACTGATGCCGCCGGCGACGATGATCTTGTCACCATACGCGCCGAGGATGGAGCTGCCTCTCTCCGTACCCTCGGGCATTGATGGGAGCTCAGTCCACTTGTTGGTGACAGGGTCGTATTCGTAGCAGTTCGGAAGCGCCCGGAAGGCGGCGCCGCCGGAGAGCCCGCCGAGAACGTAGATCTTTCCGTTGGTAGAGATGGCGTTGGCGTGGTTCATGGGAATGGGCAGGGGAGCAACGAAGGACCAGTCATCCTTCGGGACGTTGTATCTCTCCACTGAGTCAATGGTTGAGACTCTAGTGGGCTGACTTGCGTCAGGCTCGATTCCTGCGATGACATAGATGTTTTCACCGAGAGCCACGGCGGCGTGCTCTTGACGAGGGCCCCCGGCCAGAGGACTGAGGACTTCCCAGGTTTCGCTGGCGGTTGGGGTGCAACGTGAAGACGATGGGGCAGCTGCTGCGTGTCCGCCCAACGGCGGCAGCAATGTGAGAGAAAGCGCAAGTAATCTGAGCATATTGATGTAAGAAGAGGGGGTTTGGTGTCGTTGAAGGTTATTGAAATAGTTGTTCCAGTGCTGTGTAATGACGAACAACCCACACTTGACGCTGACGATTTGCCTCTTTAATAGAAATAACCGGCTGTGCGAAAGTACAACTTCTCCTGATGTCGACATTATCAATACGAACGCCAAGGAACTGCATGATCTGTAAACTGTGTTTGTTAATTACCCAGGCTTACGCTTGCAGTGCGAATGTGACAGCCAAAATTGAGCGCCTCAATGACAACGTCTCAACTTCGAGAGGTTCCATATCGCCAAGTCACTGAAAGAGAGACCACAACTAATGGAGCACTGCCTCCTGCGGTCAATATGGAATACGTAGCATTTCGGGTTCGGTCCGCCTCTATTCTTGGTAGCGCACTCATTCGTAGGTGCTTGATTCTCAGTAAGTCAATCGTAATTTGGTTGTTTCTTGGCAGACAGGTATATAGTTACAACCATGTATTGCAATTGCCAGCGGAGTAATGTTTCTCTGGTGACGTTCAGCACACCAGTAACATCCAAGGCGTTAGCATGAAAGACTAGATTCTGACCATCGTACTCTCTAGCACGGCTTTACCCACCCGAAATCATCCTTTGTAACATTCTTGTCAGAGCCAGGAGCGCCTTGATTGATGTATTTCACAGGCCAATCAACCAACTCTTGCCACTTTGAAGTAAGCGATCTCAAGATGGTGTTCATGAGATGACTTCCCCAATCTTCCATGAACCAGAAATAAAGACCCCCTTCGTGAAGAACAGTGCAGTAGTGTACGAGCACAACCAAAGCTGCTGGGTGCTGGGTTTCCAACAGGGCCATGAATCCACTGCTGAGGACCATTGGCCAAGACACGGCAACATTCAACGCCGGAGTTGTCGCTGATGCTAGTCCGACGCTATCTCGCAACCCAGAAACTGCGCGCTCAACAAGACTTTTGACCTCAGGACTTACATCGTCTGGATCCATTTTATCAACAGCACCCGTAACGCTCCGCAGTAAAGATTCCAATAGCTTATTACCTCCAGAATACCGGTCGCATTGCATGAAATCCCTTAATATGCCATACCGCACGTTTTCCTTGGCCGAAGTCAGGACGCCGCTAACACCTCGGATAAGGGTGAAAATCTCCAGGATGTGGCCCATCTCCAACTTGAGAGGGCTGTGTAATGCTGGGCTGGACGCGGTGAATGAACCGATGAACAACATTGATGATGCGGCAAACAGTGCGTGGCAATTCTGCGGAGTAACATTGGAAATCTCGGCGTAAACTCCGCGAATCGCGTGTTGTTGGTGTTGTAAACCCAGGGAAAGATTTTCCTGTCGCTTCTGCGGCTCGAGGGTTGCAAGATGGAATGCGGAGACTGCGAGGATCTGATGCATGAGAAACGGATAGTCGGTAGCCACTTTGGGTACCTTATCTCTCCATGTATGAAGATTGGCGCCGGGTAAAGTAGCGGAGGTCACAGACGTAAAGTGGTTCATAAGCCCGAGGTCCGCCGTCCAACAAGACCACCGCTCGGATGCGGTTTCGGCGGCGGAGTCGGCCGTCAAAGAGGACGACGTTGTCAATGAGGCTCCGGAGGCGCCGCTAAACACCAGTGTTAGCGAGAAGCCCCGACTTTCCAGATCCGAACCCGAATAGCCTTGTGTCGTCGGCAAAGCCCCATCAATGGCAGATGGGGCTAGGCTGCAGGAGATTTGCTGTCTAACGCAGGCGCCACATGGTTTCCTCTCATCGCACTGGAGCAGCATTAGCTCCCGAGCTCTCGAGTTTGAGTGGTTCACAGTTTGGTTGACGTACCTTGACTTTCCTCTGCTTGCAGGTGGAGCAACCGTTTCGCGACTTCTTGTGTCCAAGTCTTACCATGTTGAGAAACTTAGCCGAGCAAGGTGAGCGAGAATGCAGATCCAAAGAAGATGATTGAGGTTCAATTTTGAGAGAGGTCCGCAAAAAGTAGGCTTGTGAATCCGAATCCGACCGGCCGTTCTTATATCAGATAGAGTTGCGGAAATTAGTTGAGATGAGCGGACTTTGCCAGCCACTCGCAAGTCGACCCGCCTAGATAAACGCATAGGTAGTCTGGCGCTACCGGGAGGAACAGGGGTACCCCAGAAAGACGCCCGCAAAAGAATTCAACCATATTTTGGGCGGGATGCAAACACCAAGACATCAATATCACCAAAGGCACGAGCATAGCCTCAGTCTAGATACGAAGGATCCGCGCATGAAAAGTACTTACAGATTTTTTATACGAAATAAAATCGCTGGGTTACTAGTGATGGGAGACTTTGAGTAATGTTAAAAGGAACAAGAATCTCGAGGCATCAACTTTTCTTCGTCGTCAACCAGACTATTGCAACTTCAACTTGTCAACAGGAGGTTATAATATTATATTATTTGTATTTGAGAATCTCTTTTCCGTAATCTCTACTTGAAGCCATGGATTTTTCATCGCCGAATCCTGGGGAATTCGTCTTCTACCACTATGATCCGTCTCTTCCAGCAGCTTGCGTATTCATCTCTCTGTTCGGCATCTCGTTTGCCCTGCATGTCTTTCAGATGGTCAAGTTTCGAGGCTGGTACTTCGTACCATTTTTGATTGGCTGCTGCTGTGGGTTGACCTCTCTACTCCGCTCTCATTGACTTTCTATCGATTTTTGCTGACAGTCTGTGTCTTTGATAGTTGAGATTGTAGGCTACATAGGTCGAGCTCTGTCTGCAACCCAGACCCCAGATTGGACTACGACTGCATATACCATCCAGAGCCTGACGCTTCTTCTCGGGCCCGCACTCCTCGCTGCATCCATCTACATGGTTTTGGGCCGTCTGATCCGGTTCCTGGAAGCCGAACATCTGGCTTTGATTCGCACCAAATGGTTGACAAAGATCTTCGTCCTGGGAGATATCATTTCATTTCTCACACAAGGCGCAGGTTCGCTTGCTCCACATTAGCAAGACGAGTGATCTTAGCTGACTTTTGTAGGTGGCGCAATACTTTCCCGGGCCAAGTCGCTGAGCGATGTTGATCTCGGAGAAAACATCATCATCGCCGGCCTCGCTGAACAGATTGCCTTTTTCGGGGTCTTCATCATCGTCATATGCCACTTCCATTACCGAATCAACAGATCGCCCACATGCCCCTGCAACTCGGTCATACTAAGATGGAGACCCTTTATCTGGATCTTGTACGGAGCAGGCGTCTTGATTATGGTTCGATCTGTGTTCAGAGTGGCCGAGTATGTCACAGGCAGCAACGGACCGCTGATGGCAAGCGAAGTCTACATCTATGTTTTCGACGCGGCCCTCATGTTCATGGTCGCTGCCATGTTCAACCTCTTCCACCCTGGGAACATCATCCGGATGGACCATAAGTTGACGGCGATCTCTGAAAGTAGCATGAGAGTTGGTCTGCAAATCTTGCCCTAGTAAGGGATGACTCGTCGTTGGTCTGGAGACTGATAACTAAAGTAGCAATCAACAGCGCTGCTAGGCGAGTTGTTGATGAGAGGTGTGTGAAGATTTCTCCTCTGTACTAGACTACTATTTGAGTCAGTTTCAAGGAAAGAAACATGGCACCGAATGAGAGGCTTGAGCTAGGGAGTCCTGCCCGTATGTATTCAGCTTTCGTAGGCAATGTGAGATCTAGAATATGCCACGAAATGAGTTGTTAGTATTTATTACATGTCCATGGCATAAGGCTTTGACGTATTGTTATTGCAAAAACAACCCATGAAAAAAGATCAAGTATTACCTGGCAATCGGAAAAATATTGACAGGAGACGATCTTACAAGATTGAAGTTGAAACACTCGATTTTCAGAACAATCAAGGGGCACATTGTGCGACGTCCAAGCTTGTCTTGCTCTTTCGAAGCGGGATCAAGGACTTAAGTCGGTCTTGCGTGTTCGAGCCTCGCACACAATTGGCGATATATAGACAAGAAAGGGGTATGGCATCCTTGTGTTTTGAAGCCAGGGACACCCTTCAGTTCCTAGATAGCTTCCTGGTTATGTTTGCTTTTGCAACGCACTCGGACATAAGACACAACTTTTAGGAATGGTCATATTGGTCTTCTCAACATACGATCCGTTCCTATGGGCAGATCATTTAGTTGAATGGCTTCGGCAAAGTCGGCTCGGAGCAACCTGGAGAGAGTCACGCATATGGCCTAGCCTACTCATAGCACACAAAAGTGTGGAAAAAAGGTCAGAACAGAAGAAGCAAATCCAAAGATACTAAGAAAGACTGGTACTTGGATTCATGTATGCGATCGCAAGCGGTCACCGATGAAGTTGGTACGACAACCCTTCGACAGGACAGCAACCCTCGGAGTTTTGTTGAGGAAATCTTGGCCCTCGTCGGGGGGTTCGCAGCAGGGGAAACGCTCGGAGTCTTATGTGAGATGAACTGTCAATATCCGAAGCCCATCATAGTTTTCATGAACGAAATTGATCTTCGATTATCCTGGAAATGTTTCATTGAGAGACTGCTTTGGTATACAAGTTCTACCCGGAAACAGGTTGATATGTAACCCCCCAATTTCTGGTTACATCTTTTACACGAGACCTTTGAAGACGTTGCATTTAATCTACATAACAGTGTGATTTGCGAGACTTTTCAAGCTCATCATGAAGCTTGATTGGAGGACTTAATCAAAGAAGCCTTGAGAACGAATGAGTGGTATGCTCAGCCATGAGTCAGTTAGAACTCCAGAGACTGCGTTGAGATTCCTCTTTTGCCCTGTAACTGCTGCGCTGCAAGTTTCTGGAACACGCGCTAATCTCTCTGAGGACACTAAAACCAACTTCCCCAGAGAATAGAGTTGTCTCTTATGAGACCTGCGCCACTTGTAATAAGGGAGCCCGCCGGCCGCCCGCACGTTTGAAGGCCGGGCAGCGCGTGACCCCACACGGACTTTACGCCGTTTTCCGCTGCCCGTTGACCGCAAGGCACGAATGGCAGTATGTCCACCAGCGGTGAGCAGGTTCGGACAATTATCAGATCTCAACTCTTTACTTGAAACCAGGGTAGTTACTGTTGGTAATAGATCATGGGGTAGGATGCCGGAGTTCAGCCTTGGTGTTACGCGTTCTAGAAGGCTTCAAACTCTATTTCCGCTGAAACCGCCAGTACGGCGGTAGGTATGCACCGTTTGCAAGAGTTGCAGGAGCCCTACCGGACACACCGGACGCAAATATTTCAGATGGCGAGTAATGAATGTATCGGATGAGTTCCACTTCGGCATGGTGCTCCCACGTTCGGTCACTTATGCCGAGCCAAAATAGGTTGCATCAGATGAACCGGCGCCCGTCCACAGCCCCTGGTCCTTGAATCCGATACCGAGTGTGTGGAATGCTGGTACGTAGAGCAAGTTTACGTGGAACATAGCTTCGCAGAGGATAAACGAAAGCAAATAATATATAAAGCGCAGACATTTCAGTAATCCGAAATATGTTGCTGCCCATCTTCATTACGACAGCTCAACTCACTCAAGCAACTGACCCAATTCTTTCTTTTTAATTCTCCGAAGAAACATTTTGCAACAGAGATACCCCCACTCCAGAAATCAAAATGTTGTTCAAGTCAGCCATCGCCGTCGCCACTCTCTTGCAGTTCGCGCTCCCCGCATCAGCAGCATTCATTTTCTGCGCGGGAGCTCCCGCCGATGGTAGCTGCCCAGCTGATAAGGGAACTAAGTCTAAGGTTGGTTAATCGATAGATCTCTCCGTGCGAAACCCCTCAGGCCTGTGCTAACTCGTATATTCATAGTGCCAGGATGTTTGCGGCAACTGCCAGCCCAGGTGCTTCGGAGGCGGTGTGAAAGATCTGGGCGCAACATGCTGCACTCAGTCTGATGGAACCATCAACATCTTCTGCTTCAGAACAGGAAAGAACACCTGCTAGTGTAAGGTACGATGAAAGGCGGTAAATGGTTATGAGATAAAAGAGCAAATGAATTACGCCGTAAGCAGCGCTTGCGGCTTTTCTTCAGCGCAGTTTTGATAGCTCACATGCATTCATGTTTGAAGCCTGCTATTCAATAGTGACCAAAACCCACCTTGCGAATTAACCTGGCCAGGCCGACATTTGGGGAGCATATCCCAAGGGATATGAATAGTATTGCAACTTCGCATGTATATCTGCAATAGTAGGTGGCTTCACACACGTATTGAGAAAAGCCGGGATTCGAGCCCTCAGTTGGGGAAAGCGGGGTGCACAAGCAAAGACGGGGAAATCGGCACGATGCAGAAGACCACTACCCCAGGTTAGTTAAGTCCATTGCCAGGGTTTGGCTCAGCATTTCCTTTTCTGGCCTGAACTGAGGCCTTCCGGCTGCTTCCCCGCGACTTGCTCCGCCGAAGCCACGATCGCCGCGGGCTGCTGCTCGCTTGCAAATAGCACGACAACCGACAACCCACGGACAAATCACTCGCGATGTTGCATCAACAAACCAGCAGTGCTTCTATGCAGTCATATAATATGAAGTTCACCCTTACTATGCAGGTTACCCGTCGTCGCATCTAGATCACCAGAAGACGGGGGGATCTCAAACGCCCCAGGCCCCTCTCAAATCTTCTACCAGGATGCTTTTGTCTCATGGGACATGGAAATTCTTTGCCGTCATCGCCTTCTTTGCGCCTGGCTCATCAGCAGAATGCTGGAGAACGACTACCTGCGATGGACCAGACTCGGCAGCATTTCCGGGAGATTGGGACAAGTACAATTATGCCCCCAGCTCTCGCAATGTAACGCCCAAGTTCATTCTTTCCCTTCCTTCCGGCGAAAAGATATCAGATTTCAATTCCTCAGTTGTGCTTTCACCGGACGGTGAAGCATTGGTGTTCGACTTTGGCATTGAAGTCGGCGGCATAGTCACTGTTGACTACGAGCTCTCTGGTTATAGTAACGCTACTCTGGGACTCGCCTTCACGGAGGCCAAGGACTACATCGGTCAAAAATCAGACAACTCCAACGGCGGAACTGGCCAGGACAGTGCCCTTACATACAACATCACATCCGAAGGTCCTGGGACCTACGTTATGCCCGACGCCAAATTGCGCGGCGGCTTTCGATACCTCACGGTATTTCTCACAAATATTCAGTCGAACGCAGCGTTGGAGATCCGTAACATAACTCTTGAGATCAGCTTTCAGCCAACCTGGTCGGATCTTCGGGCATACCAGGGGTATTTTCACTCCAGTGAGGAGCTTCTGAACAAAATTTGGTACAGCGGCGCGTACACACTGCAGACAAATTCTGTCCCCGGTAAGACTGGACGTGTCGGCACAAGTACCTTGAAGTCCGGGTGGCAGAATGACGCATATATCGGCCCAGGAAACACTGTCCTTCTCGATGGAGCAAAGAGGGATCGCTGGGTTTGGATTGGAGACATGGGTACAGCAGTGCCGAGTGCGTTTGTGAGCACTGGCGATATGGAGAGTACCAAGAACGCATTGCAGGTAATCTACGACAATCAAGTCAGTACTTTTCGCCTCGTTCAAAGCCATTATCTGACTTTGGACAGGGATCAGATGGTACGTTACCAAAAGCTGGACCTCCTTATCCCTCAAAGGACAGCGATAGTAAGTCAGCCGTATCTGAGTGCAAACATTAAGAGCGGAGAGTTAACGAAACATTGCCAGCTTATCATCTGTGGGCGCTCGTTGGCACGTACAACTACTTCTTGTATACCGGAGACGAAGAGTTCATGGTTTCCATTTGGGCCAAGTATCTGAAAGCTATTGCCAACAGCAGGGCAAAGGTCAACTCCAGAGATATCATGGCTGTTCTCGGAGAGAAGGACTGGGGACGTTGGACATACTCGAATGAGCGAAGCTCGGCAAGTATGCTGTGAGTAAGCCCCTCGTTCGGGAAAGTACTGGCCATGCTAATGGACTTAGCTTGTACCGTGCACTCAAGACTGGTGCCGACATCGCGTCGTGGGCACCCGAGCTCACCAATGCGTCCACTTACAAACAAGAATGGCTGGATGCTGCAGCTACGCTTCAGCGTTCCGTCATGGCAAACCTGTGGGATAGTGGCAAAGGTGCTTTCAAGGAAAGCCCCAACGACACATCACTATACCCTCAAGATGCTAACAGCATGGCTGTGGCCTTTGGCGTGGTGTCAGCTAACAGCACCGAGGCACAGCAAATATCGGACTATCTCGAGTCGAATTGGACGCCTATTGGGCCTCGCTGCCCCGAGCTCGCAAACAACATCTCTCCATTCATCTCTAGCATTGAGCTTTCAACTCATTTCCGCGCCGGGCGAGCTGACCGAGCTCTGAATCTGATCAGGGATGCATGGGGGTGGTACCTGAACCATCCCAACGGCACTCAATCCACCGTCCCGGAGGGATATCTAGTGAACGGTACATGGGGCTATCGGGGAGATCGAGGTTATAGGAATGATCCTACGTACATGTCTCACGCCCATGGATGGAGCAGTGGACCAACCTCAACCATGACTGAGTATCTCGTCGGCTTGAGAGTCATCAAGCCTGGGGGCAGCGAATGGCAGTTGAAGCCCGTGCTGAGCGAGATTTCCGAGGCAGAGGCTGGATTTACTACTAGCTTGGGGAAGTTTTCCGCGAAGTTCACGGCGGGCGACAATGGTACAGCAGTCGTAGAATGGAGCACGCCGGCGAACACGAAGGGTAATTTGGTGTTACCAGGGAAAGAGTTGCTTAGGGTCAAAGGTGGAGCGGGTTCTACTACCATCAGTATTTGAGCTAGAATACTTTTCGACGCATAACACGCCGCTCATGCGTTCATAGCTAAGAAGCTGATGGCGCTGAGTGGGCGTTGTTGACTGCCCACCCAGCTGAACAAGAGTATCTGTCCTGTTCATATATGAACCTATCTCTGCCATCATCGAAAAGAATTCTTGACTAAAGATCAAACCAGAACCGATCAGGCTTCCCTAGTCGTTACTAAGACACTCCTCCACCAGGTTTTCATGGCTTCCGTGCACTCCCCACCGTCTTTGAAATTGCCTTCCATGACGAGAAAGTCGTGAGCATACTTCGGCTGCAGGTCCAACTGCATAGGCAGCCCAGGATTACCACGGCGCACCTTATCCACGAACTCAACGTCCTGGTCTAGGAAGACTTCTTGCTCGCCGGCGGTGACATACAAACTTTTGACAACCTTGCTGAGCCCACCATCCCAGATGTCATGCTTGTGCAGTGAAAAGACGCGGCTTCTGGGGTTCGTAGGGTTTTCTGACGGCCCAGTCTCTTCCAGGATATCTCCCGCAGCTTTTTGAATAGGCCACGACGATAGCAAATCGACATTGGAGTTTTCAGCGAAGGAACGATCTTTTGTGCGGTCGCTTAGCCATGGAGACACAAGGCATGCGCCACCTAAAGGCTCGGCGAGCTGAACCTGCGCAACCATAGGGTGGGGTTGAACCAGATGCCCTAAGACCTGTGCCACCAGGTTCCCACCCGCCGAGTCCCCAGCGATAGCAATATCGCCGGGCTGGAATCCGGACTTGATGAGATGGGAGAGGGCGCTCGCAGCTTGGGTGAGCTGACTGGGATACTTCACTTCAGGGCAAAGTGTGTACTCGAGCACGGCTACGGCAGTTTCGACGCCTTCTTCAATGCCGGCGGTAACGTAGGCTCGCCAGCTCCAATCCAGATGCCCATCTAGCAAAGGGATGACGTAGCCACCACCATGGAGAAAAAGGACAACTTTTTTAGCCCTGCGTTTGTCTCCTACCCAAAGCATAAAAGACTTGCCATCCTCGAGGGTCTCGACATCGTGGCTCAGTCTGTCAAGGACGACACGATCGTTGATGTTCTTGGCTTTTTGTATCTTGCGGCGTACCCAGCCGTCATACGTCTTTCTGGTTGCAGGTGTGACGAACTGGATTTGACGGGCGCGGAGACTGTACAGATAGGTTTTCGCGAAAGCGGCAAGAACATAAAACCGCAGGGGTAGCCCTCTGAACCAAGCGACGGAGAGAACAGTCACTAGGTTCACAAGCAGCTGCAGGGGAACTAACGAGCACGGTTAGTAATGTCTCACATTGGAGCCGCTGAACCTACAGATGAAGATCAGGCGCAAGGCCAGGCGCAGCTTTTCCTGTAGAGAAAATTCTGGATTCATGATTGCAATGGCTGAACTTCTCTCGAGTGACAAAAGAGAAACTTTCGAGCAAAATTTAAGAAGACGCATTGTGAGGGGGGCTGGGTGGATTGATTTATCAGCCACCAATGAAACATGCAGCTATTTCCAGCCGAGGCTCCCCACTTCAGCTGTTCAGATGAACCGCCGCCGACATGTCACAGCTTGGCATATGTAGCCAACCGTAGACTCAAAATAGTCGAGCAGAAGATGATTGCTCAAAAGAATGCGCCAAGCACCTTACGTAAATCGAGCAGAAGTCATGAAAAAGCAACTTTGGCGCATCCACACAGCTTCCGAAGTTCCGAGGCATAAATGTTCAACCGGTAGTAGTGTTGGGTGTGGTTTCATTTACGACGGACGAAATAAGTAGACTGAAGCGGCCGGCATAACTGATGAAGCATAATTGTATAACACTAACCTGGTCATATATCGATCACTGCACTATGTGCACACCTCATTGAGTCGTGCGTAACATTTCCAATGTATCAATGACTTTAGTCCTTTAAGCCGAGAGCCGACCAAGTCCTCTGACAGCTCTGCTCCAGGAGGAAGCGGTTCCACCTATGCGGGTAGCGACGAATCATGGCTTCCTCAAGCTTCTCAGAATTTCCAGCCTTCTCCAGCTCTTCTTCGAATGCCAGTATATAAGCCCTTGTGGCCTCAATCAGATATGATCCATCGATCTGGGAGGCTCGTTTGTGGCCAGGCACGACAATATGAGGATCCAAGACTGCAATTTGGTCTCAAGACTGAAGCCACATCTGTCTCTTCTCGGGAGTATTGGCTTCGCCAAGGAACTGATAACAATCCCCGTACACAATGTCTCCGCACACGACGAGTTTCAGGTCGGGAACGTGAAGAAATGACGAAGCATCTGTATCCGAGTGTGATACGTCGATGCCTTGGAGTAGATGACCGTCGATATGAAACTTTCCGTCGGCAGGCAAAGCGTTGGGAATATGCTGGTCGCCAGCGATCTGCCCCTCGGGAAAGAGCTTGTCCCAGAACGCCAGACTGCCAGGCCATTGCTTCCGGATGCCATCAACAACGGAGGCAGTGGCAACGCATTTTGCCTCTGGGAAATGACGGAGAAGAACGGGGTTGCCGAGAAAGTGGTCTCCGTGTAGATGCGTGGTGTAGATATACAGCAGCTTCTTTTCAGGGGCTGTTTTCTTGATCCAGGTAGCGAGGCCTTCGGAAAGCCCAATGGTGGCCGGCGTGTCTACCAAAACTGCTGATGTTGGCCCTTGGATGAGGGTGCAGGATATCGGCGAGAACCATCTTTTAGACGGATCTGGGTGGCCGGTGGCTATGGGCGCAGCCGGTGCAGCATACACGTCGACCTGAAGATTGCTGACTATGACTGAGTACGTGAGGAATTAAGAGGAAGTTGCTCAAGGCTTGAAAGACGATACTGCGACCACCTCAATGTTCCTCGGCGGCTTCTTATATGTAGGTTTCTCGTTGAGTACTACCAATAATGGCAAGGATATCTCGGTAATCATCAAATCCAGCAAGACAACTTGAAAGCAGTCATCTCCAGCTACGGAATACGAGTACGAGACGGCGGACATACCTCTCGTCCTGGGTCCGAGAGAGGATTGCTAATCAGAACCATGATCAGGACGGAGATCGTGCCATAGATCAATACAATTTGCCAAGCCGTGCTCTATCCCATCGGCAGCAACTAATTGGACAAGATCAAGATCACATATTGGCCAGTGGCCCGGTTTGCAGTGTCGTAGTTATCGCCGATGTGGGGTTGATGCGAATAATTGGTCCACTAAAAGCAAGCCAAATTGATTACTGAACAGAACCGCGGTCGTCAACTCCCGGTGCGCGGTCAGTCTGACAGGGATTAGCAAGGTGTTGCAGGTCAGGAATGGATGTTGTAGATGGTCAAAACTTGCTTGAAAAAGCCTACTGAGGCTTTTACAAGTTGGTATCATCACTATCTAAAGCATGGTATTTGTAAGCCGTTGGACAAGTTGAGGACGAGAACTCTGCCTATGGCGCCATCACCGCCATCAGCTTCAATCAATTTGACTCGTGGTGACTTGCTGACGTGCAAAGTAAACTTCATGTGGATCAGTCGAGCTGGAAAGTCTCGAGGCCGACTTCAGAAATATAAATTGGGCCAGAAGGGTCGTGTTTAGATCAATCTTCAAACCGAGAGCACCATCATCCTATTCCCCAAATCTTTTAACTGTGTACCTTTGCTCTAACTTACGTCAACATGAACTCGACTTCTATTCAAAAAGTGCTCGTCATTGGCGCAAGCGGCAATGTTGCAACTTCCGCCATCAAGGCACTCTTGGAAGACGGGTTCCAGGTCACTGGACTTACTCGAGAAACTTCGGTAGCATCGCTGCCGGAGGGCGTTACACATGTGAAGAGTGACTTTTCTGAGGCCTCGCTGTCGAATTTTTTCAAGGGCCAAGACGCAGTTGTCAGCACCCTGTCAAGCATCTCCCCAGCCGGTGCTCTGGCCTCTCAGAACTCCCTCATAGATGCGGCCATAGTTGCAGGAGTCAAGGTCTTCATCCCCTCGGAGTATGGGGTCGACACATCTGATCCATCGGCCCCGGAGATCATTCCTTTTCTTACCGACAAGATTGCCACTCTCGACTATCTCAAAAAGAACCAGGACAAGATTTCATGGACTGCCATCGTCTCCGGGGCCATGTTCGATTGGGGCCTTGCGATCCCTGGTTTCGGGGGCTGGGACGTGGCAGCTCGAACTGTCACAATTTACGACGGCGGAGACATTCCCTTCGACGCCACCAACCTCGACCAAGTTGGTAGAGCCATCTCCAAGTCCTTGAAGAATCCGGAGCTCACCAAGAACCAACATGTCTATGTCAATAGCTTCACCATCACCCAGAACCAGGTTCTCCGAGCCTTGGAGAAAGTCACCGGAGAGAAGTTTGATATTTCTCATGGTTCTGTTGAGGAACTTTGGCAAACCGGTGCTGCTCAAGTCCGAGACGGGCAGCCGCTAGGTGCTCTGGGCCTGATTGCAGGTGCCGTGTATGGGAAAGGGGGGCTGGCGCAATACTCCGCCAAAAGGGGCATTTGGAATCAGAAACTGGGATTGCCAGAGGAGGATCTCGAAGAGTTCTTGAAGCGCTATGTTACAGGCAAATAGTGACACTCAGCTAGTGCCATCGCCAACGATGGCATACAGTACCTCATAGTCAAGAGATGCACTATACAGATCCAGATTCAAGCAAGCAAGCCATATCAATCTAATAGATGGACTCGAAGTGGCAAGTGATAATACCGCAGTTAGAATTCCAATGCCATTCAGTGGCAATGCCCGTTGAAGCCGCTGTCGCAGTGACGATTAGGTACCCAGCTCCAGAGCCGAGTCAAAGATTGGCCTCCTGAAGTGCGGGGGTTCCCCACCGACAATCAGCGGAAATAGAAGGGGACTATGAGCCACGGCACGGGACGTCCGTCAGTGGAGAGGGTACTTGGTAACTAACTGGAAGTCACTGGGACTCTAGATAGTGCTGGCGCATCAAGGCAAAATGGTGCAAGGGCCGAGTCAACTGTGCCTTCAACCCGTGTAAGCCAAGCCAGTGTCAGAACTAACTCTGTTGACAAGTCGCATAAATAAGCCTCAATTCCAGACGAGACTGGAAATAGGCCGTCGTTTCTTGCTGCATTTTCTTGTCTATCTCTGGAAGAATTAAAGCATTCAAAATGAGCTCCAAAGACTTCCTCCTTATCCTGATGCCCTGGACACCGGACCCGGCCTGGGTTGCCAGTCTCGGAATGCCGGTTGAGTCCCGCAAGATCGGTATGTACCAAACAGAACTACCGAGCGACATCAGCCCGGAGACATGGGCCAAGGTGACTATCCTTTTCACGTGGAAGTTATTCCCAACCAAAGAGATGGTGCCGAATTTGAAATACTGCCAGCTTCTCAGCGCTGGGTGCAACCAGATCCTGGGACTGCCGCTCTTTGAAGAGACAGCCATCGACTTTTGCACGTCAAATGGAACGCACCCGTAAGCAACCGACGCACAGCCACGACGCTGTTTCTACTTGCACCGTAGCTTACATGAAACAGACCTCAGATTGCGGAATGGGTCTTCTCGACTTTCCTGGCTTTCCAACATCACAGTAGACCTACTAAGAAGCTATTCATGCCGACAGCTGCTAATTCGTTCCAAGTTCCGGAATACCTTGACAACCAAAAAGAGTCTAAATGGATCGACCCTCCGTCGGATGAAGACACCGAGGATTCGGTGGGTCTGCGAGTGTATGCCAAACCCCGATACCACCACCCAGAGTTTCAACTAACAGGACCTAGAGGAATCCTCGGCTACGGCTGCGTCGGTCGCCAAGTCGCCCATGTAGCCAAAGCTTTTGGGATGAGCGTCCACGCTTACACCCTGCATCCACGCCTCACGCCCGAGTCCCGCAAAGACGACTCCTTCACAGAGCCAGGCCTGGGAGACCCTAATGGCGAGTATCCATCAAAGTGGTTCTATGGCAAAGATCAGCTAGACGATTTTCTCGCCTCGGATCTTGATCTGCTGGTCATCACGCTGCCCTTGACGGACCAGACCAAGGGGATGATCTCTCGCGAGCAGTTCCAATTGTTGAGCAAGAAGAAGACTTACGTTTCTAATGCCGGAAGAGGCGCCGTGATCAACACCGAAGATCTTGTTCATGCGCTTGATGAGGGTCTCATCAGAGGCGCAGCGCTGGATGTCACTGATCCGGAGCCGCTTCCTGCTGAGCATAAGTTGTGGACGTACAAGAATGTCATCATCACACCTCACTGTGCTGGGAACTCAAATCATTACTATGAGAGAGTGCGAAAGATACTCGTCTACAACCTGGAGAGACGCGCCAAGGGCCAGAAGCTTGTCAACATTGTGAGCCGGTCAGAGAGATACTAGATTAGAAGATTGTGGCGTCGGTGGTGAATACATGGTATTTGTCTACTAAATTTTGAGAGTGATATCAACGAAGTAATATTTGGTTGTTACGTGGGGATTCATTCTTCACAGCAAGCTTTCTATCATTCGAGAGTTCGCAACGGGGAGCTTTCTGGTAGGGTTGGGATCATACATGATGGGGTGACAGACTTTAGTGAAGAGTTTTGCTATCCGGGCGGATAGTATATACGACAGTAGGGACGATCGACAACGATAGTAATAGGGATAGAGATAGAAATAAGGATAGCGACGATAGTAGTAAAAGTAAATTACGATAAATTAAACACTAGATCTAATATACTTTAGGGAGTTAATCATAATTATCTGCCTAGTTAGCTAGAAGTATCCGCCCGGATAGCACGACTTTTCGTGAATTCACGAAAACTGAGGTGTGAAACTGAATGCCTCAACCTTGTCCCTACGCTCACATCACGATGCTCATAGATTATGTCATCCCAGCCAGCTTTCAAGGTTGGCCATCAGGGATAACTCTGAGTAATTTGTGAACTCTTCAGCCAACAAGCTTCTTCAACTTATGAATACCGTTCTTTTGTCGCAATTCCTCTATCGCCACTCCTCCTATCGCCGTCTCTAGCTTTGCCTACACTATTCCTAACTGCTCAGACAGCACGACTTTCTGCGTTTCTTGTGAGCATTCAACGACCACATAAAGCGAATTAAATCATCGAGAGTGGAAGATTCTATTTGTGAACTACATATGGACCGTTCAAGTGAATGCAGCTCTATGAATAGCATACATGTTATTCGAGGTTTCAGCGAAAAGCTGCCACGCGAAATGCTCGACTCGCAACCTCGCTCTTGTGAGTGAATTCCTCCAGCTCACAACTTTGCCAAGACTCCATTGGCTTGAAGGAGTGATAGATGTCCTTTGTTGATGTCTTTGACAGTTTTGCATCTGAAACTGGTCAGTGTTGCTTCTCATCAACTTCGTCTAGGTCACCTACCCAGCAAGACACATGGCTAGTCTCAACTCATCATGAAGCAGATTGACAGCCAACTGCACACCTTCAGATCCGTTGTACTAATCCCGGAGAAATCAGCTTCTTTGAGAACAGCCATGGTGGCGTCTGGGTCGCACTTACTGCCAGCCCCCAGATGGGAACTCGTCCTGCGAAGCAAAAGTCCGCGCCAAGGGCAAGAGCCTTGAAGATGTCAGTGCCTCGTCGGATCCCACCGTCGACTGCAATTTTGATCTTCCCCTTTGCGATAGGGGCACATTCTCGCAGGGCATCGAGCGTAGCTGGAACGCCATCAAGTTGTCGGCCGCCATGGTTCGAAATGAGCACGCCGTCAACACCATGCTCGATGGCCAGTGCAACATCGTCCGCGGTGTAAACTGTTAAACTCGGTCAGACAGCTTCTTTGCGACCTTAACCAGTGGCTGTGTTACCTCCTTTGAGCCATACATCCAGCTTGGTGTTCTCCCGTATCCAGCTCAGGGCCTGCTCCCAATTCATGCCGTCCTCTAGTGGTCATCAGCATCTCCATAGAATGTGGGTACCAGCATTATTACCATATGTCAAGTCAAGACCTTGATCGACGAGGTTTCTCATGTCCATGCCTGGGGCAATGTTGGGATACCCCATCCCTTCGGGCAGACCAAAGGCATTTCTGTACTCGTTCAAGCGACGACCAAGCATCGGCGCGTCCACCGTCATCATGACGGTCTTGTATCCTGCCTCTGTCCACAGGCCGAGTCAGCAAGCATCATCGCAGCTATTTCACCCATTTGACTTACGCTCCGCCCGCTGGAGGATCTGCCTAGTGATGTCTCGATTCTTCAAGATACTAAATTGCATGATGTAGGGGTTCCCCTGGCCTTGCGCGATGACATCTTCGAGAGAACAAGTGGCATATGCAGAGAGTGCCATCGGGATGCCAGCCGCAGCGGCAGCTCGGGACGTGGCTACCTCGCCCTCCGGATGCGCCAACTTGTGAGTTGCTGCAGGCGAGAACCCAAAAGGCAGCGCCACCTTCACGCCGAAGATGGTGGTAGATGTGTCAATGTTGGACACATCTCTGAGGACCCGAGGCCTAATCTTGTAGCGGTTATAGGCGTCCTCATTGTCCTGGACTCTGTATCCTCGTGTCAGCTAATGATAAAAGACTCATCCGACTGCAAAACTCACGTAATCATGTCCATAGCACCTTCATTGAAGAATTCTGTTCCAGGGATGAGTCTCAGTCTCAACGTTTGCTTTAGGGCTCTAACCTTTGTAAGCCCGAGGAAGCTTCTTGGAGGCTTCTTCCTTCAGGTCTTTGATACTAAAGACCTTCTCATCGAGAGTCTTTCCGCGATTGGCCATGTTGGAGATCGTGTTCAAATTCAACCCAGGAGTAGTGAAATAAGGTAATGTGCGTACACAAGACTTGGGACCTTTACGAGCGTAAACCGGCCATCGCGATTAATGATGCAATACTGCCGCGCATATAAAAGCCATTTCGAACGCGGAAGCGGACTGGCTTGACTTGTTCCGCGTCCCCGGCCGAGTTGGTTCCTTGGGCGGTGGGGGGGCGGAGCGGCGGTTGAGCCGAGTCATATCTGACTCGGCCCGCAGCTCAACCCCGCGATCCTCCCCCGACCACTGCAATCGCAGCCAACTTCGGTTCGTGTGAAGAATTTCCTAACTGAGTTTTTTTGAGAAGGAGTGGTACAGTACCTGTTACTGCGGGACAATAACCCCGTTGACTTCTCCTCAGACGGGCTGCAGCCCTGTGGGGGACCGGGGTGGACGGGAGCCATGTGTATTGGATGCTAGCGCAGGAGGAGCTCCAACATATGGCCTATCTCTCGCGACCATCATACTTCTCTAGAATTCACCGTACTGTTCGTCGGTGCACCCCTTATCGGATGACAGTTGACAAGGGTGGTGACAATCACGCACACAATGAACCCTCTTCTCGCACATCAAGCCAGGAAGCCTGTTAGTTGGTTGGAACATGAGCCCTTTTGGGTAATAGAACGCGCAGCCTTTCAACAACTCCTGTATACTCGATAAGCAATGGCCTTGGTTGATTTGACTCGGCTCAACATTGACCTCACAGCTGTGTCGGAGCGTCGAGTATCGTAGGAGTCGCGATGTCACTCGTCGGAGAAGGCATGGTGTTGACATGTATCACGGAGAGATAGGGGAGAGGGAGAGGGAGATGTGTAGCTTTCGGGCAATATTTAAGATGCAAACAGGTCCAATGGATACAAAGAGTCTAGTCCTTGAAATCATGAAAGACGAACCTTCATGAGGTGCATCTCTCAGCTGCTGTGACTTCCAAGCAACACCCAAACATTGACCAAGTTTCGCCATGACGCACTCCACAACTTTACGAGGCTCTGGAAAGAGCTTCTTCCACAATTATCGAGTCTACCTGCTAGCAACAGTGTCTTACATGGGCTCCCTCCTCTTCGGTTCGGCCCCATCACCCCAAACATCCCATACACCCCATCCTAACTCTCCCAGGCTACGACGTCGGCGTGATGGGCGGCCTCCTCCCCGAAGAGTCTGCAGTACGTCTACGCGGGCAGGGTCATCGCCGGCCTGGGCATCGGGGGCATGAGCTCCATCACGCCCGTCTTCGTCGCTGAGACCGCCCCGCCTGAGGTCCGCGGCCGTATCACCGGGTTGTTCCAGGAGTTTTTGGTGCTGGGGAGTAGTATTGCGTACTGGCTTAACTACGGCGTGGAGAGGAACATGCCGTCTACAACAACACAGTGGAGGATCCCCTTGGGCGTGCAGCTGATTCCCGCAGGCCTGCTGCTTATCGGATTGATCCCGTTGAAGGAGTCCCCGCGATGGCTGGCTAAGCACGGCCGGAACGAGGAGGCGTTGGCTTCTCTAGCTTACATGCGTAATCAGCCGATCAATGACCCCAGCGTTGTCAGCGAGTTCAACGAGATCACCGTGTCATGTGGCGCCGACGCCGAGGCAGCGCGCCAGTCGACTTGGAAGGAGAGCCTCAAGCCGGGCGTGCGGAACAGATTCCTGCTCATCTTCGCACTCATGGTGTGGCAGCAACTCACCGGCACGAACTCCATCGGCTACTACGCCCCTCAGATCTTCCAAACTGTTGGTGTCTCGAGCGCCGATGCGTCGTTGTTCGCGACGGGTATTTACGGCATCGTCAAGCTCATCTTCACTGCTGTTTCTCTTCTCTTCGTCATTGACAAGATTGGCAGGCGTTGGGCCCATACACTCGGTGGGTTATGGATGTAAGTTGCGTACTCCCAGGATAGCTAGGTCATCGTACTGACGTGCTCCAGGTCCGCCATGATGTTCATCCTCGCCGCCGTACTAGCCACTCATCCCCCTGAGGGTGGTAAGGCGGTGTCCTCGGCATCAATCGCCATGTGCGTCCTGATCTATCTATATGTGATCGCCTACACAGGCTCCTGGGGTCCAGGGTGAGTTGCCTCCATGAGCTAGGAGGTGCGAGTTGCGGCGACTGACAAATACAGGCCATGGATCTATGCAGGAGAGATCTTTCCGACGCATCTCAGATCATACGGGGTCGCATTCGCCGGTAGGCTTCCCACAAAGACACAATAATAAACCGCAGCCAAGCTAACAGATTATCAGCCGCCACTCAGTGGCTATTCAACTTCATAGTCACCCGCGTCACGCCGCAGATCATCTACGGAATCGGCTGGAAGACGTTCATCATCTTCGCCGTCTTCTGCCTTGCCATGAGTACCTTCACGTTCTTCTTCATGAAGGAGACGAAGGGGATGAGTCTTGAGCAGGTCGATGTCCTGTTTGGGGCAGCCGAGCAGCGAGGTGGTCACCTCGAAGCCGGTGAGGAGGAGGTAGTGCACGGTGTGGAGATAGAGGAGCAAGTGAAAGGCAAATCGCAACCCAAGAGCGAAGATGATTGAGGGGGCAACTGTCTACGATAGAAACACGCCACTTCTGAATCTGGTGATTGTTGTCGTTGGCAAACACGTGAAGATGGAGGGGGTTCGGGTCACGAGGTAATGGACGACTGATCGAGTGAATGTAAGTTTAGTTCGTAAGGATTAGTTCACAGTACCGCAAAGAGGGCACCTCAGGACATCTGGAGAGTGGAAGTAGAGATCTTTCATCCGAATCCTAAGCCCCATCAGGAGCATCGTCTTTGGCCCCCTCTCGTCTTTAGAAGCGCAACTTGCGCTTTCGACCCCGAACTTTCGGTTTTGAACAATACTAAAAGGCGCACTCCGAGCCATTGGCAGTAGCCTATTTGAGGGGCCTTGTTACCAGATTGAACAAGATCTGAGCAACCCGGCTCCCAGAGGATGGGATATCGGCGCGATAGGCTCCTGAAGGATGGCGTGCCAACGAGGTATTGCTGTCATGTCGAACATTTGGAAGACGTCCTGTGTCCGTGTTGATAGAAGATATTCAAAGTGTTCCGGAGGCTTCAGCTGCAAAGTGCTTCGTCAGTCAGCGATCTCGCCAGCCGATCTCCAAATGCGCCGAGATCCGCCGGACCTCCAACCACGGCGCGCTGTTGTCAGCCTGTGGACGGCGAAACTTGCACGTCGAAACTGAGAGAAATCCCAAGCATTCAAACAAAACCAACACGGCCCATCAAGCGTCATGTCCACCGCCGCAGGATCAAACAACTCGGCACAGCGCCATAGCAGCATCCAAACATCTCCATCAGACAAGACTTCCAACATGCTACATCACAGGCGCAGTCGCGTTTGCGTCAGACCCATCGACGCAGACTCGCTTCGTCATCTTCAACACCTCGCCAGCTTCAACCCTCCAGGCCTCATCTTGGCAAACCCGCCAAGACCGCTCTCGAGAATGCAGCCCCAAACCATCGCCGACCGAACACCTATCTCAGCCCTCCAAGACTTCCGTTCATCGCCAAGCCGACCGGAGACTTTCCCGTCGACGCAACTCAAAACATACGCCGCCGAAAAGGAAAACACTGGTTTTCCCGACTCTGGAGCGCGCGCTTCGGCGAGCGGCGAAGCAGCGCCCGAGGAAGAAGAACGGATGACAATGCGGAAATGTAACCGGAGAAGAGTCCCTAAACTCAAAATTCGTTTGCGCGTCGGGTTCCCACGATAACGGCCGGAAATGCCCTCACTCTAAGGTTTTCCCACCATGGAACTTGAGGAGGGAAAGCCCACTCACACCATCGCGACGCAGCCCAAAATAAAACTCTGAAATACAGATGCAGAAGTGGCCGAATAGCGAGGGTTCTCTTATCGTGCACTTGCCACATGCGAAGAAGGCATAGCATAACAATCGTCGCATGGCAAGCGAAGCAAGAAGAGACAGACGCAGAAAGAGAGAGTCATGAAAATAAACCTTTCCACATCAAAACACCTCCCACTTTCCACCCATCCAGCGGCGCGACGCAAGAAAGATGAGATAAGGCCATATTTAAACATCAATCAATCTGAAGAAAAGGGGAATGGGGACCCAAGGACGCTAAGCATGCCCTCTAAAGAAAATTCTCCTAATTAAATCTAGACCCCCGGCACAGCGTGACATCACACCCAAACAGCAAACCACCTAAACCCCCCTGTCAACAGCTGCCCCCTAAGCCCCAACGTCACAGACCACCGCTTCTCCGTCCCAACTCCGGACCACAGAAAAATCACATGAAACGCCGTCTCGACAACGCACAAACCACCTCGTGTTTCGGACCAAGGTCCGCGACCTCCCCCCCCTCGTCCCCCGACACCTGCCAAGACCTAGATTGCTGGCACGGATTTCTTCAATTGCGCGGGATGGCAGGCTGACATAATCGGATTGCATGAATGTGCCAGCCAGAAAAGAGAGGGAGACGAGACGAGAGGGCGATGATCAGACGCCGCAGCTTGGACTGGGGCATCCCACACCATCACCACACTTTCTGTCGTTGCTTTCGGTATACCTCCTGCCACCCCAAGATTCGCTGGCCTGAAGGTGAGTGTTCAACCCAAGTGAGATTAAGGTTGTCAGGCTGTTGGCGGAAGCTAGCCCACCACCCACTCGGAGTTTGTCATGTCGAAGTTAGTAGCAATGAAATCACACGAGCTGCGCATCTGAAGAGAACATGACCGAAGAAAAAAGTGAACAAAAGATTATGTGCACTCTACTGGAATTGTGTCTTCCATTTCTTTCCAAGCCATGCTGCGTATCCTGTCAACGGAAAAGAAAACAACTCCCTCTAAATGTACAGAAAGGTTTCGATCATGAAAACGGTTTGGGTGGTCGTCGAGGAGGAGGTAGGAGGAGGGGGGGACATTAGAACAATAATACGGGGAGGTGTGTTGAGGGTTGCTCTGCCAATGTTGTGTGTGGTATCGGGGGGGTAAACGGTTTTTCATGATCCAGGAGTAAACAACAAAAATAAAGAAAAACCACCAACACGGTGCCCACGACCCATTGGCAACCAAGATTCGTCTAGTAATAAAACCATCATTGTGTGTAGACCCATTCGTCGTCGAAAAAGGTTGGACGACTCTCACAAAGAGAAAAAAACAAAAGAACACCAGAACATTTTTGTCGTAAACCCATCATCGGGGGGTAATAGTAATTGTCGGTAGGGTAGCCCCGTTGGGTGAGCGGTGCCGTCAAATATTCCAATCCTCGGGGTCATCGTCGTCGTCGTTCGTCGCAGAAGAAATGGGGGAAAACACTCAAGAGGGGATTCGATTACGAGAGCTCCTGGATGCAGGCCTGGACCTGGGCATCGCATTCGGATGTGGAAGCCCCGTTACCCTGTCCACCGTTGATAGCATTGAAGCAGGAATTCCGTTGAATGTCGCAGGCACGCTGCACGGCGTTGGCCTTGGAGATGAAAGAGTTGCCGTTGACGGAGAAGGGTCGGCTGCTATCGCCCGAGTCCGTGACCGCCGGGGCCGCGAGCCCGAGGATTGCGTTCGACGTTGCGCCTCCCTTGCCACCAGCGGATCCGGAAGAGTTACCGTTGGCGTTGTTGTTGGAGTTGCCGGAGGCGCCTCCGGTCTGGGTCGGCACCGCTGCCGACGAGGCTACCGAAGAAGTTGCCGACGAGGCGGGTTTACTGGCGGCGTCCCCGTCCTGAGCGGACGTGTTAGCATCTGCGGAACCTTGTGCATTCTGTCCGGACTGGGTTTGTGAAGTGGCCGCACCAGGGTTACCGAATCCAGGGAATTGGCCTTGCCCGAACGGGTTTCCACCGTTCTGGCCGCCAGGGAAGCCTCCTCCATTCTGAGCACCAGGGAATCCTCCAGGAAAGGCTTGGGTGTGGGTATTAGCGCGAGGGCGAGGGAGAGAGGGGGGGGAGAAGGGGGAAAAGAAAATGAAAATGCCTTGGGTTCAGTGTGCGAAATGCAAAGGGGGGTTCTAAGGTGTTATGCGTTGTTGGCATTACCTCCTTGACCGGCGCCTCGTTGTCCCGCACCAGCAGCGCGGTTGCCGCCTTGAGCCCTCTTTCCGGCGTTCTGCTTACCTCCGCGGTTGCCGCCGTCTGTCCCAGTGGTTAGCTTCAGAATCATGAAGTCTGAGGGGTTACTCACTCTGGCCGTTGTTGGCGTTCTGGCCGTTGTTGCCTCCAGCGTTGGCGTTGTTGTTGTTGTTATTGCCACCGTTGTTGCCGCCGTTGTTTCCTCCGTTGTTGCCGCCGTTTCCGCCAACGGTGAACTTGTTGCAGTCGTCCTGGGCACCACGCTGAGCGACGGGCATCAGAACAGGCTGGTGGTTGGAGGCGGAAGACATAGTGCAGACGCGGTAGTTTCCGGCGGGGAGACCACCGGTGACGGTGGCCTTCAGGTTGCCGTTGCCGTCACCGGCATCGTTGATACCCTTGAAGAACACGAACTTGGACGCATCCAGAGGCTGGTTGGGAGTGAGGGAGTTGCCCATGTCCTGGATGGTGACGTGAACGTGACCGACAATCTGGCCCTGGCCGTTGACGTTCTGAGGAGCGGAGTAGTAGGTGGCCTGGGCATCAGTGAAGGAACCGGCAGCCAGGTTGTTGACCTTGAGTTGAACGTCAAAGTCCTGGTTGGCCGCAATGTTGCCGTTGTGAGGGGGGTTCTGCAGGACGGTGGAAACCATCTTGGTGTTGGAGGGAATCTTGCCCATGACGATACCGTTGCAAGATCCAGCGGTGATCTGCTTGCCATCGGTGAGAGTGGAGCCGGAGCAGAAGTTGATGAAGTTGGCGTTGTCACTGGCCAGAGTGGTTAGTACTTTCCCGGGCTTTGATGGGCTCCGTATACTCACGTAGCGGACTGGGCCTGCTGGGCAGCGGGCGTTCCGGCAGACTGAGAACCCTTCTGGACGGCGTTGGTCTGCAAGCAGAGCTGGCCGTTGTTGGCGTTGTTGTTGCCTCCGTTGTTGTTGTTGTTGTTCTGGCCGTTGTTGCCCTGGTTTCCACCACGGTTTCCACCACGCTGCTGACGCTTAGCCAAGGCGGCGCTCAGAGGAGAGTCGATGTCCATGAAGGTGACGCCGGCCTCGGCGACGACGGCCATGCCCGCAAGGGCTGCGACGAGGTTCTTGATCTGCATCTTGATCTCGGGTACAAAAGTTGTCGAATCGAGGGAGTTCGAAGGGTGCTGTCGACCGAGTCGCTCTCAATAAAATACTATAGTTGTCGTTCGAAGGGGTGGTTCCAGACCGAGGAGCGAACAGAGTAGAGTACGAAAGGAACGGTCACAGACACCGGATACGCAGCTGAAATTGAAATGAATGAATGAATGTGAAGACACACTCCCAGCGTGAGGCAACAGGAAGAATGGAAAATAAAGGTTGGAGGGTCGAAAGGAATGATCGAAGCTGAGTGACTGCGGATTAAGAAGGGGAGGGCGGGAACAAAATAGTCTGAAATGCCAAGATATGGAGTCTTATATGCGCAGGGCTGTGGTTGCAGGCTGCTGCCGGTATGGACAGGGGACCGGGGGGT